ATAGGGATGCCTGGGAGAAAACGCAATTCCCCTGGGGTCAGGTGAGCTGGCGCTCAGACATCCACTGGGGTCTTGGGCCATCCCCCAGGTCCCCAGCATAAGGGGACACTACTGTTGTTTGCCGTAAGGTCCTTGGACATTTTTAATGGCTGTCTGGATTTGATGTGATGGGGTAGGGAGGAAGAATCAGGGCTCTTTCTGGCTCACAGCTGCACACCAGGCTGTGGTCTAAGCCCCACGTACCTGTTTTTGTCCTTTGTCCCCTGAAGCAATAGTTCAGTTTTTCCTTTATTTCATTTGTCTTCTTATATTTTTACTCTTTTTTTATAGTCTTGCTTGTGTAACATCAAAATGAAGCAGGCAAAGAAATCAATGAGTTGTCTTGGCATCGATCCAGTCTATTCTCAGGTGGCTGAAAAGCCCAGAACTGTGAACTGAAGACTTCATTTTGTATCAGATTTTCTTAATTGTCTCCCGAACACTTGCTGGTGCTTGCTAGAACTCTCTAGAGAGAGGTGGCACTCTCAGCCTGAAAGACAGGTATTTGCTGGAACAAAGAATGGGGGCAGGTGGGGGGGGGGGCCTGATATGAGAACAGGAGCAGCAGCTTCAAGCCCAGGCCTTGGAAACTGCTGCACCACTGGGAAGGAGGCTCCCAGCTGCTCTACTTGCACGGCCTTTTGCAGAAAACGGCGGGGAACTCTGTGCTGTGCTTTCAAAAGGTGTTTCCACTTGCTTTACCACTGAGCAACAGCAGAAATCTGCCATGTAAAATATAAAATTATTGCTTGAAAGTTGATCTCTCTAGAAGCCAGTGAGCTTCTAGAAAACGTGATTCAGATGGCACTTAAAGTGTCCTATTGCGCTTCCTTGAAAATGATTTTCAAGAGGTTTCTAAGTGAAGTCTTGTTAATGGAGTTTCCTTGTGGGGCCTTATGATCCCTGCAAAAGCTGAATAGGTGTGTTTGTTCATTGGGGGAAAGTCCATCCTGTCAAGGGCTTAGAACAGACGGAGGGTCACATGGCAGCCCGAGGACACTAGAAAGTAGCCCCGGTTACCTGAACCCCGTACAGCAGCATCCTTTGGGGAGCAAAGTCACGGAGACCAGATCACGATGTCTGTCCCACAAGCCTAGCCCCCTGACTCACTCCCAGACCACTTGTTTCCTCAAGAAACCAAGATAAGACAGATATTTTAAAAACCATCTTGAGAACAGACTGCTGTCTGTGTGTGGCTGAGAACCAGGTTTTTCCCTCCAGGCAAAGAACCTTTTCCATTTTCACTCTTCACTTCTTATTTTCGTCCCTGCCCTTCCCCAGGCCCCCAGCAGGAACAGCTCTGCAGTAAGCAGCCGCCGCAGCCGGCAGGGGTGCGCAGATCGATGGCCCTCGCAGCAGAGGGCAGATGGTGCTAATTAGGCTCCAGGGTGGCCTTGATGGGGTGCAGACAGTGCTAGGCAGCAGCGCTCCCGAACCCCGCTCTGCGGGCCAGGCCCAGCGCACCCCTGCTGTCCATCCCCCCCGGCTGTCTGGCTTAGGAAGATGCAGTGGTAGAGGATATGTATTCGTGTCTCTCTCCAAATGCCCCAAAAGAAACCCCTTGAGCTGTCACCCTCCAGCCCCCTCCCAGTCCCGGCACCTAGGAATCTCCTTTCTGTTAATGGATTTGTCTATTCTGGACGTTTCATAGAGATGGGAGCCTATAAATGGGTGGCCTTTTACATTTAACTTCTTTTGCTTAGCATCTTGGTCCCCAGGTTCATCCCATCATATTAGTACTTCATTCCTTTTTATGGCTGCATAATATTCCACTGTGTGGATGAAGCACATTGTATTTATGTGTTTGTAGGTGGGCATTTGGGTCGCTTCCACTCTTTGCCCGTTGTGTATGGTTCTGCTGTGGACATTCATGTCGGTGTAGGTGTAAGCTTGACCCCTTCTTAGGCAGATACCCAGGAGTGGAGTTGTGGGATCCTATGGTGACTTCACGTTCACCTCTTGACTAAGGGACCGCCGGACTGGGATGCGCCATTTAGATTCCTGCCAGTAGCCCCACAGTTTTGTGTATGACGCCGTCCGTCTAGAAGTAAGAAAACTGACAAGGAGGTCTGAGGCTTCCCCGGCCCTGGCAGGCAGACCTCTGGGCTCCTGGCCACTGGTGCCCAGGGTGTGTTTCAAACTTGTGATTTTCTAGATAAGACAGGCAGACACAGAAACGACTGTCCTGAGGAAGAAGTTCTCATCCACAGTGCCCCAGGAGGAGCAGGAGGGCCTGGCCGTGGTGGGGGTGTCAGAGTGGGGAGCAGGAAAACAGGGCAGGCACCTTCCTCTGGTTTCCTCTGGGGGAATGGGCCAGGAGAGGATTGGCTCACTTGAATCATCTTAGTTGTCTGGTGCCTGACCCTAGGGTGATTAGGACCAGAGGGGACAGTGGCCCAGAACTACCTTCAGTGGCATGAGGGAGGCAGACTCCTCCGGGGACAGAGGCATTTATCTCAGCAGTCACACTGTGCGTCATTAAACTTTCTTGTGAAAGGTCCCTCCACCGCCACCCGAAACAGAAACATCTCGGATCCTTTTTTGGCAGCAGTGTAGTGTTAGAAAGATGTTAGATCACATGTATTCTAAGGAGATATGCTGTACTTGAGCAAATGAGGATGTTCTAGAATACAACTTCTCACAGTGACTTTTTTCTGTGTAGTCCTCATTTGTCAGCAATTATGTATTTGCAGATCACCCACTAAAAGGTATTTGTAACCCTAAATCAACATTTGTGGGATTTTGTTGTCTTTCTCAGACTTGCAGAACAACAAAAGTTGGAGTAACCCACGGTGGATGTCACCAGCTGAAGTTGAATTAAATGGCACTCTGCCTTCTTTTAGCTCAGACTGTTAAAAAAAAAAAGTCACTTCCCCCCCTTTTGCTGGTGATTTGGCTATTTAAATCATTCCCCAAGCAGAGGCCAGGAGGCTGTGATGCGCCTGATGGAGAAAACACTTGTGTTAGAGATGCATCCCTCAGGCGCGAGTTACAGTCCCGAGGGCCATCAGTTCAGTGTTAGTGCATCTGCTGTGTATATTTAATAAGATGTCTTTCAAGTGAAACGCCCACAACACAAAACTGTATTGACTGGTTGATGAAAATATAGGTGGAAGCTCACAGGAACCTAACTTGTCTTTCCCTAAGAGCACCGGTTGGGGATTTGCTAATTCAGTGTCCACTGGGACCTTCTAGAACACCACTCTTGTAAATAATGAGAATCAGCTGCAACTTCATATTTTGAAATAAGTTTAAGACCCACAAGAAGGTGCAAGACCAGCTCCGAGTTCCTAGGCACCCTCAGCCGCCAGCCGCCAGGCATTGGCGCCTCCCTCGGCCGCGGCGCGTGGGTGGGTATAGCTACATCCGTGTCACCAAAGCCACAGCCGGGGTGCAGAGCTGTTCCGTCACCCAAAGAAAAATCATGCTTTTTCATAACATCACAGTGGACTATTTTAACCCTTAATTTTAGCCCTTAAGACTAAAATCCTATGGCGTTCAGCCCACTCACACCGCTGTGCAGCCTGCCCCACTCTCCGGCTCCAGAACTCGCTCATCTTCCTAAACTGGAACCTGTCCCCACTGAACACCAGCCTCCCCCAGCCTCCCTTCCTCCCCCAGCTCCCCTTCTTCCCCCAACCTCCTCCTCCCCACAGTCCTCTTCCTCCTCCCTCACCTCCCCCCACTCCCCGCTCCTCCCCAGCTCCTGGCCTCTGCCACCCGCCAGTGCTTTCTCTGGTGCTCTCACATTCGCCCGCTTGTGGCTGACTGGCCTCACTCAGCCAACGTCCTCAAGGCTCATCCACGTCGTGTTAGAATTTCCTTCCTTTTTGTGGCTGAATAAAATTCCGTGAAACTGATTTCTTGGCACTGCTCCGTGGGAGGCACTGTCCCCATTCTAGCGGGGAGATGATGATCAAGATAAATCCGTAGGGCCTCCCCGGTGGCGCAGCGGGTTGAGCGCGGCACTGTGAAGCTGTGCGCAGCCTCCACAGCGCAGGTTCGATTCCCAGCCAACTAGGGAGATTCCCACATGGCGCGCAGACCTCTCCTGCCTCGCCCGCTGCTCCCCTCAGCAGTGTACCTCACCCCTTCTGCCTGTTCTGCTCCCCGCTCTGGCTCTGGTGAATTCTCTCACCCTCCCGCACTTCTGACTGTACCCAGTGCTTGTATAAATAAATAAATAAATCTTTAAAAAAATTTATTTTATTTATGCACACAAGAACTGAGGTGTAGGTCAGAGGTGCAGGGGTGAGAAGATCCACCAGAGACAGAGTGGGGAGCAGAACTGGCAGATCTATTGAAATCCACTGCTGAGGGGAGCAGCAGGGAGAAAGGAGAGGTCTGCTGTGCCATGTGGGTAGTTCCCTGGCCGGGGATCGAACTCATGCTGCAGTGGCTGCCGATAGCTTGATAGCGCTGAGACTTAACCCCTGCGCCACCAGGAGGCCCAAATGTATTTTTTAATGCCACTGGTGTCATTGACTAAAACAGAGTTTTCCGGTGCAGCTAAGCAACCTGTTTCCACTAGGTTTGCCGTAAATGATCACCGGGTCAAATAGGAGGGGCAGATTAGCCTAATTGACAATATAGCTTGATAGGGAGTTTCTGCAGTTTGATAGGGAATCAGGGAGCCCCGTGCCTCCTCCTATCTCAGCTCTTAGGTCAGCCTGAACAACCTGCTTACAAAATTTACTGCATAAAACCAGAACCGCCCGTCCGCTTTGGTGGTCAAATTCTATCACCGCGACTGTGAACAGCACCTGTGGCTAAACAGCCTGCCCGGTGGTCTCTGGGTCTCAGTCACCCCAACATCCCCCTCAGATTAATTACAATGGTGCGCTGTGTGGGCTCAGACTCATCAGGGTGAATGTAAACTGCTCTCTGCTTCCCCACCCCCTCCCGGACTGAAGGGTGTCAGGGTTTTTTTTTTCTGTTGTTGTGTGATTTCCACACTAAATGGTCTCAGTGGGGACCAATTTCCTGCCCTACAACCTGCTGCTTCAGCCAATACAGTCGGCAAAGACGCAGCCTTGCATTTCTAGAAGGATCGCACAGAGGTATAAGAGGCACAGCCCGGCCACGCCTGGCTGTGCCCCTGCCGTGGACATGGGGAACACACATTCCAAAGGCGGAGACAGAAGCGGGGCTCTCCACGGCCGCCCTGAGCTGTCTTTCTATGGCTCTTTTCCTAGGAAATGGAGCGAGAATGTCTTTTTAGATAACGAGCTGCTGACCTCCAAGATCCTGTCCGTGCTGCGGCCGGCGCAGTCGGAGCGGGGCCACCTCCGCTTCCCCGCCCACTTCCTCAGCACCAACTCTGTCTTTGCCTCTGTCGCAGCGTCCCTGAAGGAGCACCCAAGGGCCACCCTCTTGTCCGAAGGCAGCCCGGCCCTGCCCAGGAATGTCGGCATGACCGTGTCCCAGAAGGGGGGTCCGCAGACAGCTCCCAGCCCGGCAGGAACAGGGACTCGATCCGGGTAAGCAGGGGTCAGCTCTGTCAGCTGGAGGGAGGGAGTGGGGTACGGCGTTGGCAGCCTCTGAAAGGAGACCCCCTCCCAGGTCCGTGTGAATCTGCTCTGGATCCCCAGCCAGGCAGGGAAATGCCCGTCAGCACTTGCCCTGGAGAGTCTTCCCTTCTCCTGTCTCAGAAGAAGTGTTCTGGGTGTGTCTGACCCCGGGGGCCAGTTTGCCTGGATCCCTCCCAGGACCTGTAGATGGGGCTCTGTGCTGGGCCGATGCTGGGAGTCCCTGGGGGGTGGCCTGGCGGAGGTGTCTGTGGTTTACACCTTTGCCTGGCTTCAAGGGCTCCTGGCGGTGTCGGGTAGCAAGCCCGCTGCCTGAATAAGACATGGCTCCTGAGGTCCTTGTGCAAGTCGGGGTCGGGGGAGAAACCGATTCCCTGTCCTCCGAGGGGTCTCCCTCTACCCTCTGCTGTGAGGCTGCGTCTGTCTGACTCTTGCTAGAAAAGCCCAGTGGGCTCCAGTGGCCAGTAAAGGAGGCGGGTAATTAACTGCCCCTGGAATGCTCATGAGCGTTTAGTGAAAGTGAATCATGGTGCAGGGGTGCTGGCGTCACATGGACAAGTCACCTCCTGGTCCTCAAACATCATCTGTGACAGAGCAAAGGCTTATGTTGAAATCTGGAAAGTCCTAAAAGAGCATCTGATCAGCTGGAGTGACAATCTAGAATGAGAGAGAGAGAGTGTGTGTGTGTGTGTTTGATTCAGTTTTGGAGATAATTGTTTCTTTTTATTTAGACCAGCCACGGGAGAGATGGATGAAGTCGATTCTGCTTTTCTGAAATTCAAACAGGCAGCTGATGATGCTCTCTGGCTGACATCTTCAAATGCTGAGTCCATTTATGTGGAAGGTACAGTCCCCTGGATTTCCCCTTCCCCAGGAGTCCCCAGGGCGCCACCCATACCTGGAAGGGCCGGGACCCCATTGGCTTGTCCTCAGGAGTGACCAGAGCCCACCCGGCTCCAGGCCCAAGCAGCCGCCTTTTATTCTCCCCAGATCCCTACACCGCCTCGCTGAGGAGCGAGATTGAGTCTGACGCCCACGAGTTCGAGGCCGAGTCCTGGAGCCTCTCCGTGGACTCAGAATACGCAAGGACACACAAGAGGGAGGTGGTGAAGAGACAGGATGTGCTTTATGGTGAGGCGCCCCCACCGCCACGCTGCCCTCCACTCCCTGCTTTCCTTCCTCTCCTCTCTGGGACTCAGCCGCCCACATGCCCTTGACCGTGTTGCCTGCCCCCGCGGCCTCCCCAGGGCCACTCTGCCCTCAGTGCCAGGACAAGGTGGCTGGAGGGTGCTTGGGGAGCACTTGTCCCTAGGGACGCGGTGCCTGCATGCCCAGGCCTCACCCCTTACCTTGTTGAGAGAGAAGATGGCCCAGGACCCGTACCAGCTGCGCCGGGTAACCACAGCCAGGCCTGGCGTGGCTGCGAACAGGAGGTCCTGGAGACACGCCCCTCTCTGTGTGTGCTTCCCCTCAGCTGCAGGCCAGCCACTGTCTTTTTTTTTTTTTTTTTTTAAATACAAGCACTGGGTACAGTCAGAAGCGCGGGAGGGTAAGAGAATTCACCAGAGGCAGAGCGTGGAACAGAACAGGCAGACGGACGAAGTACACTGTTGAGAGCAGCGGGCGGCAGGAGAGGTCTGCGCGCCATGTGGGACCCTTGCCGGCGGCCAGGGATCGAACCGGTGCTGCAGAGGCTGCGGGCAGCTTCGCGGCCCAGCGCTCAACCGCTGCGCCACCGCAGAGGCCCCTAGCCACTGTCTTGATGCTGGTTGCGGGGGTCGCCAGACACAGCACAGAGTCTCTCCTCATGCCAGGCGCCCCACGTAGGTCCCTCCAGGAACCGACCCCAGATCAAAGCAAGAGAGGTTTCCCCAAAGCAGACACACTGGGGCCTGAGACCTTTCTTTCCCCACAGCCCTCACTTGTTTTTCTTATGCTACAGGGGGTCCTCCCTCCCTGGGAATTGTCCCCCACTGCTGGGGTTGTGTTTTCTGGAGACATGTCTTCACTCTTCACCCAGGTGCTCAGGCATGCCCACTGGGCTGGCTTCCTCCCGCTTTTGCCCGCAGACCTCTCTGCTGGGGCCAGAGTAGGGTGGGGTGCGATAGGGAGGAAAACCCAGTGGTGTTCCCCAGGCCCCAATGGTCCTGCAGAAACAGTGATGGCCAGGCCAGACGCTGCTGTGCTGGCAGCCCTGGGCCCTGCTGTTGAGCTCAAAGAGCTCTCAACACTGGTAGCCCTGTCCTCTGCCCCCCCCCCCCCCACCCCCGCTCTGCCCCTCTCCAGGCACACAGTGTCCCCTCCCTCCTCCGAACGCCTTTCCCTCTGGCCTCTGGCATCGTCACCCACGTGTCTAAGCAGCCTGGCGCTAGCGCAGCACCTTGTCTTAGGCTTACAGGGCAGTGTGCATGGTGCCTGTGGCCCACCCCAGGTCCATGCCAGCTGGCAGAGCCCGTGGGGGCACATGCAGTGAGCCTGGGCGCCAGGCGTCCTGCCCACAGGGTGAGTGCTATCTGTGTGTCCCTGCAGAGCTGATGCAGACAGAGGCGCACCACGTGCGGACCCTCAAGATCATGCTGAAGGTCTACTCCAGGGCGCTGCAGGAGGAGCTGCAGTTCAGCAAGAAGGACATAGGCCTGCTCTTCCCCTGCGCCGACGACCTGCTGGAAGTGCACAGCCTCTTCCTGGCCCGGCTGAAGGCGCGCCGCCAGGAGTCCCTGGAGGAGGGCAGCAACCGGAATTACACCATCCAGAAAATCGGGGACCTCCTGGTGCAGCAGGTGGGCGCGGCGTGAGGGCACCCTGCTGTCGAGAGCCTGCTCCCCAGAGCAGCGGTCTAGAGCCCCAGGCCCCTGCAGAGGTGTTTGCCCAGACACCCCTGAGTTGTGTTCCGGCTCTTGGTGGACTTTTAGTTTTTGCTTTTGACCTCGGTGTATCTAGCTGTCAGACACCTGCCTGTGGACAAGTCTGATCCGTGGGTTGAGTTGTGGTCAGCACCTGAGCCTGGGCCGAGATTGACGCGGGTGACTGGCCTCCTGAGTGCACGGAGTATCCTGGATCACTGAGTGCATTTGATTCGAATATCCCTTGGCATTTTTTTTTTTTTTGAGATTTATTTTTTTTTTTTATTTATACAAGAGCTGGGGTATAGGCCAGAGTCACGGGAGGGTGAGAGGACTCACCAGAGACAGAGTGGGGAGCAGAACAGGCAGGCGGACCGAAAACACTGCTGAGGGGAGCAGCGGGAGAGACAGGAGAGGTCTGCACGCCATGTGGGATTCTCCCTGGCTGTCCAGGAATCAAACCGGCGCTGTGGAGGCTGCGGACAGCCTGCTGCACTCAACCCGCTGTGCCACCGGGGAGGCCCGGCTTTTACATTTTTAAACTTCAGCTGAAGTTTATTCTTCCTCCCTGGACTTGGGAAACGGCCACGGCACCTGTGACGGGAGTCCCTCAGCACCCACTCACTCTGCCTGTCTCGTGCCGGGTGAGGAGGCGCCTGCCCGAGGCATTTTTCTGACTGAGAAGCATGAAACAAAATCGCCGGCGTCCAAACCTGCATCTTAGCACAGTCAGATGAGCTGGAGGATTCCCTGGTGGGTTTTTCTGTGTCTAATTTCAACATTTCTTTTTTCTTTCTTCAGTTTTCTGGTGAAAATGGAGAGAGGATGAAGGAAAAGTACGGCATCTTTTGCAGCAGCCACAATGAAGCTGTCAGCCACTACAAGTTGCTGCTGCAGCAAAACAAGAAATTTCACAGTTTGATCAAGGTGAAAATAATTTTTTTTAAATCAAAAATGTATCCTCTTTGCAGTAGTTTTTTCCCCAGAGAACTATAAGCCTTTGGAGCTCTTGGGATTAAGGCCACCTGACATCATGAGCCAAAGACAACTAGAAAGGGTTTTGGTGAGAAGGAAACAGAGACAGAGCTTTGTCCCCAGAACCTCACAGCTCCCCGTGGGTGGCCCCCTGACCCTCCCTGGCAGCAGCTGTTGGCGGTGGCCAGTGTTCCAGAAACATGGTGGCCGGGAGTACGGAGGGGAGCAGGACAGCAGAATGGAGAACAAAGCTGCCCTTGGCCTGCCAAGAAATAGGGGACCCCTTCTTGGGTCCTTAGCCAGAGGAGTGCCTCAGGGAGCCGTTCAGAAGGCACAGACATGGTCTCATTCCAGAGGGTCCCGACAGCCCCGCCAGGATTGGGGTGAGTGTGAGAGCATGTGTTCTGGCTTCTCTCTCCGTGGCTGGTGCACAGGCCCTTGTTAAGAACAGGCGAGGTGGTGTGGGTGGCTTCTCTATGCAGCAGGTGCTCCCTGCTTTCAAGGACCCACTGAAGCAGCCAGGAAAGCGCCCATGAGCCAACCGAGCAGGCGCCCTGCCTCAGCAGCAGCACTGACTGGCGTGGCAGGACCCAAGAAGGCAGTATGACGTGGTTTTGTTCTCCATTTCCCAGAAAATCGGCAACTCCTCCATCGTGCGACGGCTGGGCGTGCAGGAGTGTATTCTCCTGGTTACTCAGCGCATAACCAAGTACCCCGTGCTGGTAGAGCGCATCATCCAGAACACGGAAGGTGAGGCCCCAGGGGGGTCCACCCTCACTCCCCATTTTAGCAGGTAGAAGAGATCCCTGTGCCCTATGCCTCAAGCAGCTGGGCTCTGCAGCCACTTACAGGCCACCACCGAGCGGGGCCCACTGGCTTCTAGCGCCAGGTGCCTGAGCTCACTTGCTGTCGCCCCCCCAGCCCTAGCACCCTAGTCAGGGTCAAAGTAGGTCCTCAGTCCTATGGCCCAGACAGGCTCAGCGGGGACCCACCTCCATGTCACATGACCAGGGCATGGGGGGGGGGGGTGGGCGGGGGGTGCATAAAGGGAGGGGGGTAGGGCACGCAGCACAGCTGGCAGCTCCCAGAGGCCAAGGCAGCACAGGCCATGCCTCCCACTCCTCCGGGCACTGGCCCCCGCTGGGAAAGCCTTGTCCTGAGCTGGGGAGGAGCCAGCTCCGGGGATGCCAGGTGCTGGGAGAGTCTTCGTGACGCACTCAAGGACACAAGTTGTTTACCACAGAGGGGCGGGAAACACTGCAGGGCAGCCCTGGCCACCTGGATGGCCCCTTGGTCTCTGTGTCCAGCGGTTCCGTCTCGGCAAAAACCAAATGCTGGGCTGCAGTGTTGACTTTGGAAAAGCACTTGCATCTCAGGGGACTCTAGTTGGAAAGTGGTTCCCGAGGGTCCTCTGAGCAGTGGCCTTGGAGAGCTCACAGAACCCCGCGCTTGTCCACGCCTCTGTGGTCATGAGTAAGCACTGAGGCCAGCACCCCCTGCTGTGTGTGGCAGCTGGCTCTGAGGACTACGGAGACCTGACCCAGGCACTGGGCCTCATCAAAGACATCATCTCACAAGTGGACGCCAGGGTCAGTGAGTGTGAGAGGGAGCAGCGCCTCAAGGAGATTGTGGCCAAGATGGACCTGAAGTCCTCCAGCAAGCTCAAGAACGGACTGACCTTCCCCAAGGAGTACATGCTGCGGCGGCAGCTGCACTTTGAGGGGTCGCTGTGCTGGAAGACCACGTCGGGGCGCCTGAAAGGTAAGATTCACGGCCACCCATGGGGCCGCCCTGGGGGGGTGACACCACCCGGTGGCTGGCTACTTCGTGGCCGAGGGGTGTCGTGCTCCGTGAGATGAGAGCAGGTGGCCAGGGTGGGACAAGAAGGCAGCAGTTGGGCCAGCACTGCCTTCCTGTGCTGCAGGATGGTGTGGTCCATTCCAGGGGGCAGTAAGTGGACAGTGCGTGGAGTGACTGGCTTCTGTGCAGAAGCATGGGGCTTGAGGAGGCCCAGACACACGGAAGGGCCCAGAGGGACAGGAAACCCTGCGAGGACTGCTCACTGAGAGGCCTCCTTCCAGAATCCTGGTGTGATCCCAGACCAGAGTGCTCTCGGGCCACTGCACTGAGGGTCCTGTCCTATCCTGGACCCCGCCTGGCCACTGGCATCAGCATCATTAGAGACTGGTGGGGGGTGCTCAGGGACGGAGGGTGTTAGTGGCACTTTGTGTGACATGTAGCCAAGATACAGCTGAGCATCTCCGGGTGCCTATCCCCAACCTGGGTGGCTGGAGGCCTGGCCTCGGGCTGTAGAAGGACAGGGACAAGCACCAACACAAGCAGTTCAGCGTGTGATATGCGCTGTAAAGGCAGCCAGCAGGTCTAGTGCAACACGTCACACGAAGAGGGTATTTGATGAAGCAGGGGAGCCCCAGGAAGATGCTGGTCACGCCTCCTGCAGCAGGAGGGCTCCTGTGGAGTGTCAGGACTGCCCGTGGCTGTGGGGTTCAGCACACAGGTCGCCGTCCATGGGGACCCGCACCCGCTGCTGCCCGAAGCCCGGGGTGAGGGCCCAAGCATGCCATGGCGGTCGGAGCAGGATGCAGGCACGTGGCTCAGGTCCAGGCGACTCGAAGCCAAGAGAAGAGAGAGGGAGTCCACGTTTGGACAGTCAGGAGGCTCTCAAAGACGCAGAGACCCGGCGGGCGGCGTGGCAGCAGAGGGTGCAGGGTGCAGGGGCTATCAGGGCACAGGGCCTATAACACAGCCCCTGCTGCCAGAGACAGTATCTGCTTTGAATTTTTTGAAAGTCAGCGGGGTGACTGACCCCCACCTCAGGGTCGTGACTGCAGAGCTGCCTGGGCTCCGGGGAGCGGAGGAGAACCCGACCACTCACTGTTGCCGCTCATCAGAGCCCAGAGAGCCAGGCCTCCTGGGGCGGGGAGCCCCCCGGAGCCCACTCAGCCACTGCCCTTGGGCCAGGAGCCCCAGGAGCCTGCTCACCTGCTGCCCTCGGGGCTGTGCGCATGCAGTCCTTGAAGACTTTGCTTCTGTGCTTTCTCTGCAGACATCTTTGCCGTCCTGCTGACCGACGTGCTCTTACTGCTCCAGGAAAAGGACCAGAAATATGTCTTTGCTTCTGTGGTGCGTACCCCACTCCTGGGGGCAGACCCCACACCGGGCCTTGGGCCTCTCTAGGCATCTCTCAGCAGGTGGCAGAGTGGAGGGGGCAGCAAGGCCATCTCAACGACAGAATACGAGGCCAGCAGAGGGCAGGGGCCTCGACGACAGAATATGAGGCCAGCAGAGGGCAGGGGCCTTGAGAGCCCATCCACAGGGGCCCTTGGCCCAGCCCCCAAAGGCCAGCAGGCTCCAGCAAGGCCAGAGTAGAATTTTCCCAAAATGAGGGTCCTATCTTGCTACCTGACAGAGGCTTCGGGGCTCCTCCCAGCACCCCTCAAGTCTCTGTCGTGTTCCCACACACGCTCAGCAGTTCCTGGCCCGTCCTTGCTGGCTTAGCACTGCGGATGAGTCCAGGCGGCTGCTGCGTGTAAACTGTGCCCCTGTGCCCCATGTGTGCTGGCCCGGAACAGCCTGGCCCCGAACCAAGCCTGCTGTACACTGGCCTCCCACACAGCCTCGTGCATAGGTGTCACCTTCTCCCGTGTCCCTCCCCACGTGGCTGGGTCTGCTCCACTCACACAGGGACACTAGTCATGCTGGGTTAAGGCCCATCTCGGTGGCCTCATTTCAACATTCATCTCCGTACCGGTCTTGCCTCCAAATAACCCCGTCAGGGGTGCAGAAGGGCTAGGGGGAGGTTGGGGCTTCAACATAGGGATTTGGGGGACAGTCAGCAGCCACTCAAAACATGGGTTTCACTGATGTGGGATGTTACCCCCTGTCGGGTCACAGGGGTGGGAATACCAGTGCCTCTGGGTGCCTGGGCCAGGGTCGGGAAGCTTACGTGGTGACAGACGACCTTCCCTGTCTTTTGAATTCCGTACAGTGTCCATGTGTTACTGGTTATGAAACACATTTTTTAAGCACGTTAAGTGAACGTGTTGGAAGGATGCAAGGATGTCATTGTGATAGTATCTCTTTTGGCCCAGTTGGCAAAGTACCTGTTTCGAATTGTTCGAAAATGAGTGGGGCCTGTGCCCCCTCCTCAGTCCCCTTCCCCACAGACTCAGGATCCCACAGCTGTTTGGATATGAGGGGACACAAAGTGACCACTGTGCACCCCCCGCAGGACTCCAAGCATCCCATCATCTCCCTGCAAAAGCTCATCGTGCGGGAGGTGGCCATCGAGGAGAGGGCCATGTTTCTGATCAGCGCGTCCATGCAAGGGCCAGAGATGTACCACATGTGCACCAGCTCCAAGGAGGAGAGGGACGCGTGGGTGGACCACATCCGGAGGGCCGTGGAGAGGTGAGGGAGCCGGGGCCAGGCAGCGGCATGGGTGACCCTGCATCTTGCTTTCTGCCTCGCTCCACCTTGCTGCATTGTGCAGCCCCTCATCAGAGGGGGCCAAGGGCGCCATTCCCTCAACTGCTCCACCTGCTGAATGCTACAAATGCCCAGAGGTCTCTGGCCAGGGGGGTTCAACCTGCTGTTTGGTGGGATGTTCCCCTGACACAGAGGGCCCCCAGTCTGGGGCCAGGACTGTCAGAGCAGGCCATGGTGTCCTGTCCTTCCTCCACAGGCCTGGGGACCCCTCAGGACCCCAGCCCTCAGGCCCCTCCAGCCTTCTGCTCCCTCTTTACACCTGGAAACTTCCCAGAAGCTTAGCTGCTCAGAGCTCCCTGGAGACTCAGCTTCGGCTCCCTGTGCTCACGGCCGGTGTTGGCCGACTCCAGAAGTGTCTCCCCCTGCGGGTTACATGGGTGGTGAAGGCCCGAGGAGGACAGTTGCATCCGACACCTCGAGCCTGACCGTGCTGAGGCTTCATCCCTCCCTGCCCCCCCCCACACACACACTTCTGCACTAACAAGCCAGGGCACGCCCCAAATGAGACTGCCTTAGCGTTTGGTCCCTGCACCCTGGGCGCCCACTCCAGCCAGCCTGGGGGGCATTGCTGCCCGCGTGCCCTCTCCCTGCAGCTGTCCAGATGAGGCGGAGGCGCCCTTCGGCGATGCTGAAGAAGAGAGGAAGATGCCCTGCAACCTGAGGCTGAGGGACTTCCAAGGTAGGGGAGGCCCCGCCCACCACGTGTCCCTCGTACAGTGACGGCCTCACCCCGGGCAGCGGGCCCTGGTCCATCAGTGGCATCTCTGTTCTGGCCCTTCTGGAACAGAGCGGAGTCACCGCCTGAGCAGCCTGGCGCTTTGCTGTGGGCTGGTGGTGTCTGCCAGCTCTGCAGGACATTTGGGTTGGACTTTGTCATGGGTAGTGCCTTCCCGAGGGGGGCGAGAAGGGGAGCTCTCAGCCCAGGGTCTCTTTCAGCAGCCCCCTCGCCCTGTCCTTGTCCAGGGAGGAGCCTCCGTGGGCCACATATGCAAGGACCCCACGGGACCCCTTAGCCTCCTCTGGGGCCAGGCTGACCCAGCCCAGCCCTGGCTTTGTGACCAGGGCCCTCCTCTCGCCCCCATTTTGTTTGGGGTTTTTTTAACGGCTTTACCGAGGTGCAACTCCCACACCATACAGCTCGTCCACTGGCCTGCCGTGCAGCAGCTTTTCCGTGTGTCCCAGGGCTGTGTGACCTTTGCCTTTAAGCCGTCCTCATCACCCCAAGGAGAAACCCCATCTCCACTAACATCCCCCTGTCCTGCCTGGTAACCACTACTTTCGGGGTCTGGCCATGTGCCTCTTCTGGACGCCTCACATTAGCGGGGTCACTCAGTGTTTGTCCTCCCAGGTCTGGTGGGTTTCACAGAATGTGAGATTTTCAAGGTTCACCTGTTTCACAGAACATGTCAGCACCCCCTTCCTTTTTAGGACTGAAGACCCTTCCCTTGTAGGGTGCACCCCCTTATGTTTATCACCCCTCCCCATCTTAGGTCTTTTTATGAGCTCCTTGCCAAGAACAGTTCCTTGTACCTTGTGGCCTCAGTCAACCTCCCTTTATTATTTCTATTTGTTTTTAAGTCAGATAACACTTAAACAATAAGTACATAAAATGAGGTCATATATATTTTATTTCTCTTTGTGGGGCAAGGTGCACTTTTTGGGGTATTAATAATACCCACTGAGCTGCAGCATAGCAATGACTTAGGTCATTTCACCCCCTTCTAACTCTGTTTCTGCTGGACGGGGATAAAACGCACCCCAGTCACGCAGCAGTGTCTGTTCACCACTCACTCCCAGCAAGATTCTTAATGAATTCGAAATAAAAAGATATTTTCTTGGCCAAGCTGTTCTTCCTCATCGTTGATCAAAAGGATCTCTCCCCCTTCACACTGAAATGCCAGGGCCACGCCTCTCAAAATCAGGAGGCAGGCAGGGCTGGCCACGTTGGGGTTATCAGCTTCGTCCCAAGGGGTCCAGCCAGGACAAGAAAGGGAGTACTTTCTGCCTGGGATGTGACCATGTGCCTAGAACATCCAACAGATTCAACTAGAAAACCATCGGCACTGCTAAGAGAGTTAATAATTTGGCTGAACGTGATACAGGTATAGAGATACCAGCAGTCGCCACCGAGGACATCTACTAAAGCAAGTCACAGTCGTGGCAGCAAAAAATAGTATAAAGCCTGGAGACTTGGAAGGAGTTTGACCTAAATGCCTGGAGGAAGATCTTTGAGATAAGGAAAATACGCCTCACAGGACTCCATTGTGCCCCCTAACTAATAAGTCAGCCCCAAAGGTCCCGCTGTGTTTGATTTGTATAGTTCGGGCAGAGACAGGGCTGCTCCCTCTCGGCCCCATGGTGAGGCTGAGCAGAGGGGAGCGCTGCCAGGACGGCGTGTGCTGTTAGCAGGGTCCCCAGGGTCCAGGTCCCCCACCCCGGCGGCTGACCGCCCCTCCCTCCGCGTGCCTTCCCAGAGCGGCTGAGCGCCAAGGACCAGCAGATCGCGCAGATCCTCAGTGAGAAGCAGCAGGTCTACCTGGAGATGGCCGAGATGAGTGGGCCGGACGACCCCTCACAGCCGCGCCTCCTCTTCCGCGGCGGGGACCCCTCGGAGAACTTGCAGGGGCAGCGGATTCTCAAGTCGGCCATGCGCGAGCGTGAGTACTCTCCCCGAGCAGGGCATGCTGCGTGGTGGCCGCACCCCTGGCCGGGGCAAGTAGCTGCTGGGCAGACTTGCAGAAAGAGCAGCTGACCCCACCTGGTGGGGCTGGACGTCCTTGGACACATCGGCTGTGCCCCCCACAGACTTGGATCACCCTCCTCCCATTCAGCTGATGCTCCCGGGGCCTGGCACGGCCAAGGACCCGCTGGGCCCCCCGGGGAGCGAGGTTGACCAGAATAGGTCCCCCACGCTAGAGGGTTCCCCTTCTTGCTAATACAAAAGCCACTGACCACATCCCCAGAAAGAATGCACACACAGGCCTTCAATGGGCCATTTCAGAGGGCTCCTGGACCCAGCAGTCCCCCGAGGAGGTGGCTCTGGGCCAGAAACCCCACATCGGGCAGGAAGAGTCTTCTCAGCGCCAGTGGCCATGGGGTTTACAGGCCCTGGGCAGCCTGCCCCCCTGCTTCACAGCACGGTCAGGACCCTGGGGGCTCCCTGGCAGCTTCGCACCCTGCTGGGCCCCATGTGGGCCTGGAGGGTGTCAGAGCAGGCAGCCAGTGCTCACCAAGGCATTCCGGACAGCTCGCTGCTCTCTGAATGGCAACGAGATGGCCGCCACCTTCCAGGCTCCCCTTCAGAGGGAGAGAGCAGAGACCAGATGGGGCGGCACGTACCAGCCAAGCACTGTCCTCCCTCACACTTCTCCAGGGGCCACTGCTATCTGCCCAAAGCCCCTTCACCAGCCATGCCTGTGTGTCCCAGACACTTGTGTGACCTTGGTTGTTGCCACACAGCGGCCACCTGACCGAGTGCATCCCTGGCCCCCAGCACACCCCTCTCTTGCTCTCCTGTGCACTGGGGTGGCCTGTTCTGGTTGCAGCATCTGAAGTTAGGGGGTGTGCTGCGTCTGGCCCCAGGCAGCTGGGAAGGCATGGGCATGCCCCTGTTACTCAGCATGGCCCTGCCACCCTCAGCCTGGCTCCACCCCATACCCAACACCCTCAACGTGGCCCCACCAGGTGACTTGTTCCTCCCCTGCAGTCGAGGACATCCAGAGCCTGATCTGCAGACGACTGGGCAGCACCAACGGCCAGGTGGACGATGGAGGCTGTGTGGCAGCCCTGCCCCGCAGAGCAGAGACCTTTGGGGGCTACGACAGTGTGAGCAGCCCTGGCAAGAGTGAGTGGTGGCATGGGGGATGGGAGGCCCCTTCTCGGGGCCCTCGGGGAAGCATCCATGGCAGGGGCTGTGTTGTTTCTTGGAGTGTCTCCCTTACATGGTGTCCTTGACAAAGACCAGGCATCTGTTATCTCTGCTGCTGCCTCCCCTCAACCATCTAGAAGCTCTCTGTGGCCAGGGTTCTAGAAGCTTCTGAAGCAGCACCCAGACAGGCCATCCTGCTCCTGGGGCCCAAGGGTAGCAGCGCCCTCACACTCCCTGCTGGGCTTTCAGATGGCAGCTTTAAGAAGAAGACCTACAGCGCAGACTCCCGGCCCCAAGATAGGCAACGCCCGGTGAGCAGCCCAGACCCTAAGCTTGGTGACACCCCAGGGGCCTCCGAGGAAAGTCCGCAGGTAGGTATCTCCCTCACTGGGGCTTGTTCGCTTAGTGCCGTGGCCCCAGCCCTCGGTCACCACCAACACACGTGGTCAGCCTGCACCTGGGGCGCTGCATTTCCCACCACACAGCCAATGGCGACAGGCGCCATCTTGTTTCATGGTTGAGTCGTCCACATTCACATGCAGTGGCAGAGGACCCTCCTTGCTTCCTCCTGAGGACCCCAGTAATGAGAAGTGGGGTGTGCAGGCTCGGGGCAGAAGCGGTGGCCTTGTCAACAGCAAGACACAGCTCTGAGGGACCGTGAGCTTTCCGTGGGGCCCCAGTCACACTGGCCACTCCCTCCCCTTCCTCCAGAGGCCCTCCCTTGCCAGGCGCTGGGCCAGAGCAGCGTCAGACGGGGGAGCAGAGCCTGGGTCGCTGCCTCTGGCTGACTTTGACAACGGACCTCCCAGGCCAGTGCCCGGGCCTCACCTGAGCTCTGTGAGCTGCCCACACCAGGGCCAGCACCAACCTCTGCTCCTGGGTCCATCTGCGCCTGTGTCTACCAGACACCTAGACGTGACTAGGCAGGGCATGGCCCTCATAGGGGGTATCTTGTCCATGTAAGCAGGTTTGACTCACGCTGCACCGGTCTTTAGAAACTGCCTTGATGCCATTATCTCGTAGGTGGAGGCCCTGGGTGCAGAGTGCGGCAGCCCCCTGCCCGCCGTCCTGGAGTCAGAGGTGGGTAAAGGCACGTGGCCTCAGGGGTGGGCAAGCTCACCCCACACCACTTGGCAAGAGCTACTCTCTCTCCCTCTCCCTGCAGCTTGTCCAGCGGATCCAGACGCTGTCCCAAATGCTCCTCAGTCTCCAGGTACAGGGTCTTCCTGGAGAGCGAAAAGCTGCACATGGTCTCCCCATCGGGGCTGTGGTCAGGGGAAGGGCGTGGCCCTCCCTGAAGTCAGCCGGACCATCTCAGGGGTCCCCTCCTACAGGCCATCATCGCCCAGCAGGACAGCTACGTGGAGATGCAGAGGACCACCCTCCAGGAGTGGGAGAAGCAGTTCCGGCTGCAGTCCACGCGGGGGAATGTGCTGCTGGAGCAGGAGCGCCAGCGGAACTTCGAGAAGCAGCGGGAGGAGCTGGCGGGAATGCAGAAGCTGCAGGTCCAGCTGCGGCGCCAGCAGCAGGAGCTGGACCTGGCCTCCGCCCGGCTGCTGGAGCGCGAGACTGAGGCACTGCAGCTGCAGGACCGGCTGAGCCAAGAGCGCGGGGAGCTGGAGCAGCAGCGGCAGGCCTACCAGCACGACCTGGAGCGGCTGCGCGAGGCCCAGCGCGCCTTGGAGCGGGATCGGGAGCGGCTGGAGGTGCTGCGCAGGTTCAAGAAGCAGAACACGGCGCCTGGGGCGCTGCCTCCCGAGGCCCAGGCAGAGGTGGGTGCACGGGGTGTAGTGGGGTGCATGTGCGCTGTGAAAGGGGCGTGAGTGCGAGTGTTTCGTGCATGTGTGGGCTGTGTGTGCATGCGCATGAGCGTGTGCATGCAAAAGTGTGCATGAGAATTACGTGCACATGAGCATTTCTCTGAGATCACACGGCTGAGTGTAAGCATGAGTGTGCACATGTGAGTGTGCAGACCCATGTCCGTTTCAAAGGCAGGAAGGGAGGCCTGGCACCAGCTCTGCCCCCAGGAGACCCGCCCAGCTCAGGAGGCAGGTGGGTGGGCAGGGTCTGTGCCGCTCCTTGACCCTGGGCAGCAGGCAGGCAAGGCTGGCACGTGGCACCGCACACATCCCAGGAGAGGCTCTATGGGTGCCAGGGAGGGCTTCCAGCAAGACAGTGGTGTTGAATGTGTCTTTTCCCACTCTCAGGGCCAGCCCGCAAGCCACCCACCCAGCTTCAATGGGGAGGGGCCCGAGGGGCCCACAGCCTTGGGCAGAGTGCCGGGGACCCGGGGGAGCACCCTGCTCTCGGGTGCAGGGCCTGAGCACCCCGAGCGCCCAGAGGTGGCTCGCCGGGACAGTGCCCCTGCCGAGAGCCGGCCAGCCAAGAACGATGTGCCCATCCACCTGCTCAGCACCACCAACCAGATCCAGAGGCAGGCGGCCGTGCAGCAGCAGATCCCCACCAAGCTGGCCGCCTCCACCAAGGGTGGCAAGGACAAGAACAAGAGTCGGGGCTCCCAGCGCTGGGAGAGCTCAGGTGAGCCCCGTGGGGTAGCCCCTCCCTGCCCCTCCCGGTCTGGTCCAGGAGGATTCATGGCACCAGAGAAGCTCATAGTGGAGGGGGAAGAGCACCAGGCCATCCTGCGTGGGGCGTCGGCAGAGACCCGAGGCACAGCTGGGGCTGTGGTAGGCCCCCTCCGCACAGGGCGCTCATCTCCAGAAGCACAACTGAAGTGGCCCTGAGCTGGGGTCCAGGACCCAGGGCCATCTTGGCACTTCAGGGAGGAGGGGCTTTTGAGAGTCGTGGGACATGGTCACAAAGCAAAATCGGGGCACCCTGGTCACCTAGGCCCAGCGAGGCGGCCAGTGCTGCACTCGCCCCGCTCCAGCCCCTGCTCTGCCAGTACCGGGGACTCTGACCACGTCCAGAGGGGACCCCGCAGCAGTGGTTCCCCAGCGGAGAAAGCACGGGCCCCTCGGGTGCTGCGGGGTACAGGCCACAGCAGGGCAGCCCATCCTGGAGCCTCCCCTAAGGAGCAGAGCCTGTCACAGGGCTCTAGTCTGAGTTCTCCGGGGCCCTTCTGGGGCCAGGCAGGGCTGCTCCTGTTCATCGCCTGATTGGGGCCTTCACAGCTGACCGTGTCTGTTCCTAGACGGGTCCCTGGGTCCTCCCGGGCTGTTTATGGGGAGTGCTAGAGTCGGGAGACCCTGGCTGAGGCCAGAGCCACTGGGCCCCTCGTGTGCTTAGATCAAGGCCTGAGCACCCCAAGCTGTGCCTCTTCCCTCTGTAGCTTCTTTTGACCTGAAGCAGCAGCCGCTTCTCAACAAGCTCATGGGCAAGGACGAGAGCGTCTTGCGGAACCGCCGGTCGCTGAGCCCCGTCCTGCCAGGCAGCCCCAGCCCCTCCGCCCCCCCAGGTGAGCCCAGTCCCTGACCACGGGGCGCCCTTGGTGCCTGGCCCAGCTGAACCCAGAACCCCCTCTCTTCCAGACTTGAGCTTCCCCGCCCCAAGCCCCACCCCAGCAGACGCCCCCTCCGAGGGCTTCTCCGTGAAGACCGGGGCGCCTCCCTTCCCGCCCGTGCCACAGCCGCCGGCCACGCCGCTGGCCACGCAGGAAGCCAGCAAGGAAGACGTCATCTTCTTCTGAGGGGCGCGTGCTGAGGCACAGATGCCTCCCTGTCCTGCCCGCCCCGCGCGCTCTGGGCACCCGCCCAGCTGTCCTTGTCCCCTTCCTGAGCAAACCACCACAAGTGACCCCTGGCAGGGTGAGGGCAGGCCAGCCTGTTGTCTTGAGGCGCTTCAGCAGGACTAACAGTGGTGCCTGGGTAACTTTCTCAACTGTTTATATAAATATATATTCAAAAAGGAAAGTTTTTAATCGAAGGTTGAGCCAGAGCTAACCCAAGGAGCTATTTTAAATCCTTGCACCCCTGTGGGTAAGCGAGAGCCGCTCCCAGCCACTTCTCCCAAGGCAGTGATGGGTGATGGTGTTCCTGAGGCCCAAGGACAGGCCGGACCCCGGCCTCAGGAGGAGGTGCTGGCCCCAGGTGAGGCCCTGCCTGCAGCCGCTCTGAGGTGCCGGGGTGTCGCTGGCGCCCCAGAAGGGGCCGGTGGTGTTTGCCCACAGAATTGGGCAGAACTGCCTTCCAAAGTAGAGGCCGACAGGGTTCGTGGTGACCGCAGGCGCACAGCCCGCCGAGGGGCAGGGCCCCCTGGGCAGGGTGCTGGGAGGGTGGCCCCGGCCCTGGGTAGGTTCTGTAGGGTCAGAAGCTCATCCTAGAAGAAACTGCTCATAACTCATTCTAATCTGGCAGTTTTTAAACCTGCTATTGTCCAGACTTGGTGCTTTCCCAAGGCGCTCCACCCAGGTGGCATGCTCCGTGGGCCTGACAGCACCAGCCACTGCTCAGACCTGGGCCTGTCCAGCAGCCGGGGCACAGGCGGCCTGGAAGCGGCTGCCAGCAAGTGGGCAGATGGCTACCTCATGGACGCTGCACGTCCAGAGAGCAGCGGGAGCCATGGCCACCCTCCCCTGGAGGCGGGGGAGGGCCGCAGGACTAGCCGAAGGCCCAACGCCTTGAGGATAGTGTCAGATGTCCGGCCTTAGCCCAGGGTGGCAGTGGGGTCAGATCTGGGGTCCAGCTCTGGCCAATCTCAAGCTGGGATGCCAGGGCAGGAAGAGGAGACATTCATTCACCTTTTCTGTACCCCGGGCTTCCCCCTGAACTCAGCACCTCGCAGTGTTGGTGGGCCGCAGGCTGACCCGGAGAAGGGGTGGCACAGGGCCACGGTGACACAGCCCGTCAGTGACATAGAACTGAGAGCAGCAGTGAATGACTTAGTGTCCCTGTCCTTGTCCACACCCCCTTGAGCCTCTTCCCCTCCCTCAGCGCCCCCTTGACTTTGCCCTCAGGGCCTGAAGCATCAGCCAGGGGCAGAGAAAAGCGCCCCCTCGGCTGTGACACAGCAGAGCCGTCTGTGCCATGTCTGTCAGTGTTTCGTGTTTTTGTACCGAGAAGTCTTGTGCACTTTAGAAGAGCGGACCTTGAGTTCCGTTCTGTTGTGAGAACATTCCTGGGCCTTCGCTGGTGACTCGCAGCCATGCCTGCCCCAGCGGGGGTCCCGCCACGCCACCCACGCCCTGGTGACCCTCCAGACGCCACGGCCCTGACATGAGTTCAAGGCCTTTCCACTTGGCCAGGTGGTGGGAACCAGGGCTCCCTGCCAGCAGCTGGGGGGCTCTCAGCTGTGCCACCCAGCAGGCGGCACCCCTGGGAGGCCTCACCGGTACCCCCAGGTCATTCCTAGGTAGAGCCTGATTTTACTTGTAAAGTTGGTGGTTGAACAAATGTCATTTCTGTGGGTTCTGTGCACATCTTTGTTCATTGTGATCATGATCTTAATGTACCCGACAATTATTTTTTAATAATTGCAGCATTTTCTCACTGCAAGGTATTCAGAACCGCCCTAGAACTTCAGGCCTGACTCCTAGCAATAAAGTGTCTCAGATGAGTTGCAGCAGCCGTCCTTCAGGGTTTGGTGTGGAGATCGTCTGCCTGAGTGTCTGTGCTGTCGTGGTGGGCTCCACTGGGGGCTCCCCTGGCTCCTGCACCCATCGCACTAGGCAGGGCCCCACTGACCCCTCAACAGCGCCTGTGTGGACCTGGGAGAGCCGGGAGGCTCCAGGGCCTGCCTGACAACCAGCTGTGACATCCCAGCCCTCGCGGGTGGACCCAGGCACTGAGCGCCCTGGGCTGCTGCCCCTCTCCTGCTGGGTGCAGGCCTCAGACCCAGCGGACAGTGACCGCCACACGGCAGCCAGGGTGGGGAGCGCGGGACTCCAGGCAAGCACTGACCAGACCTGCCAAGAGACCGGACAGGGGAGCCGGGTCAACTAGCCTGTGCCTGTTAACTCTGAGGGAACCCCCCACAGTGATCGTGTCTGCACGTTCAAAGTCAGAGGCCCTGGCAGTGCCAAGGTGGCTGCAGGGACCTCCCAGAAGCAGAACCTAGATAATCTGGGAGCGGGGGTGCTGCCAAGCCCTCCTTGCCCCACTGACTCCTCCCCACTGAGGCCTGTCCCTGTAGCTCCGGAGTGTCAGCTCCTTAGCAAGGTGCTGTCGCCCCACAGTGGTGGCCTGCGGCCCGCAGCCTTCAGGTGTGCCCAGCACTGTCAGCCCCTGCTCTCAAGGCGTCCCTCTTACCACTCAGAAACCCCTTTTCACTCCAGTCCCCATGGATTGACTTGCTTCAGCCCAACCTGGAGAGGCTGAGCTGCCCGCCCAGGGAAGGGCGCCGGGCCTGGGGTGGGGCCATCTCAGCAGTGTCCCTGGTGCTGTCGCCCTGCCAGCCCTGACGGCTGGGAGTGGCAGGCCAAGCCCTGGCATCTGGCTCTGCCCAGACCTGCAGGGGTGCCGGGCTCCTGGGCCCTGCTGAGGACCCCACCCAGCCACCCCCAGACATGCCCCCTTGGGCCTGCATGCCTCTGGGCTCACCATCACCTTCACTCCAGTGCCCCCATCTTCCTCAGCATAGCCGTGGGCCCCCAGGAGTGCCCCCAACGGCCTGCATGGGCATGTTCTGCAGGGCGCCCGTGGTTGACACTGGAGCCTCAGGGGGATTCCACCCAGTCTAGAAGTGGCTGAGAACTCCTGCACCAGATGGGCAGATCGAGACACAGATCAGAGCGGCGCTGGCAGCTGGAGGGGGCGGGCGGGGCACAACGAGCTGGGCCAGGGCAGCTAAGTAGTGTGAGGTGTCCTTCTGGAGAGCTGAAGCTGGCGTGGCCCGAGGGCAGGTGTTCACACGGTTTCCACACAGAGAATCTCTGCTGAGAGCCTTACAGGCATTACTCACTGAGCCTCCAAGCCGCAGGTGCTGCTATGACCCCCACCCTAATTCTGCTGATGCCCCGGGTGCTGGGAAGGCAGCCTCTGCTAAGGGTGCCCTCTCCTTTGCAAAGAGAGAAGGGCTGACCCAGCCTGGTCCTCAACAGTGGGGCCCTGGGTGGAGGGAGCCCCTGAGAAGGACTAAGGAGGCCCCAGCCTGGGGTCAAGTGGGGTCTCCAGCCTCCATCTTACCCAAAGCAGCCCTCAGCACCCCAGCTGTTCCCAGCCTTTTACCTTCTTGGTAAATGGACAAATGTTGATGCCAGTGAGGCTCGGGCTGGGAGCAAGGCCATTCTGTTGGATTTTCCCAGCAGAGCCCCTCTGCTTCCTGGGGGACTTGGAGGAGGCAGGTTGGGACGGCAGAGAGCTGGGGCAGGACCACCCTTGCCACTCCAGCATCAGACTGATGACAAATGCGCCCCGTTTGCCAGCCCCGCTGGGTAGAGGTGGAGCCTCAGCCTCTTCAGAGACAGCATTGCGTGGCCTCGGCCTGGAGCCCACAAAACTCCCAGCCCAGCCCCGAATGGACAACGGGGGTCCTGGGTCTGCTCTGAGGCTGGCGTGAGATGCCCCAGCCACCCCTGAGCAGAAAGAGGATGGTTGTGGCCCAGAGAGGTCAGGAGGGGGCAGCACACCAGGCCTGGTGCCTGCGATTTTGGGGGCGGAAACTGCCCTCAGTTGCCTGCTGAGGTCAGCAGGCTGTACTCACATGTCAGAAAGGACCCAGCAGGCCAAGCATGTTCCAGAAGGCGCACAGGGGAAGCGCGGCTCCTGACCACTCAGTCCCAAGAGAAGCTGAACCCAGCACACCACCACCTCTCCCCTCCCGCTCCTAAAACTAGGCCCAGGTGCTGGCCCTGGGGAGCCAGGGCGGTGTGTGCAGGAGCCGGATGTTCAGAACAACTCCGCACACCAGGCAGCTGCACCACAATATTTAATTGATTCCCATTATCTGAAGCCCATCCTGGAGCACGACGGTGGCCTCACAGGCTTGCTGGGGGCGTTGAGCCGGAGCTTCTGAGGTCCCCAAAGCCTTTCCTTGCGCTCGAGGGTCCCAGGGTCCTTCCCTCTGGCCCTGAGAGAAGTCTGAAGAGGCGGGGCTGGGACGGCAAGGCCTGGCCTCCAGCACCTGGGGGAGGGTCTCACCTGTACCTCCTACTGCTAACCCTGATCTGCCCAATTAAAGACCCAGCCCATGCTCCAGTGATTTCAGCTTGGTCAGAAGGGACCCCGCTGGGGTTCAGGCTGGATCCGCGCTTCTCAGGTGGTGTCAGAGGGTGGCGACGTCGGCCTGGCCCTTGGCCTGAGTGGCCTGGTACACGCTGAGGAGAGAGGAGATGGTGCCCAGGAGGCCCACCAGCCAGGGCGGGAAGCGGCCAGCCCATAGGACACCGGGCGGCAGCCAGTGCACGGCGTTGGCCAGGTCGGCCAGGTTGCTGAGGAGAGTCAGCAGCTCCGACTGCACCTGGGCCTCCAGGGCCCACCGCTTGCTCCGTGGTAGTTGGCTGTGGAAGCGAGGAGGAAAGGCGTGTGGGAGGCCGGCGCTGCGCCCGCACACAGACCGGCTTCCAGGTGAGGAGGACGGGTCCCTGGCCCTCCGCAGGGATGGTATCCGGTCACACCCCCAGAGGGAACCCAGGGTGCAGACAGACCCGTGTGGATAGTCTCAAACCCACACCTTCGTCCTCAGGGCTCCTGGAGACAGCAGGGAGGTTGGGGCGGGGCTGGCCAGTGGGCAGGTGCCTATGCCTGGCACAGCTTTACCCCAAGTTCTTTGTCAGGGTAAATATGACAAGGCACGGCCCTCTGGAAACTGTCCCCGATCCCGCCCCTGTGGAGGTGCGGCCATCGGGTCGGGGCCCTGGCTCTGCTGCTTGCTGTGGGGGGCTGCAGTCAGGCCTTGGCTTCTCCACCTACACCACCCACCCAGAGACTGCTGGGAGGCCCCAGCACAGAGCTGGCACTGGGCACAGACTGATAACAGGTGGTGACTGAGCGCTTCTCTGGCGGGGGAAGCGCAGGGGCCCTGGCCTATGGGAGGAAGACAGCCACTCTTCTGGGCAAAACCCCATACCTGGTGAAGGCCTCTGTGGGGCTTCTCAGCCTCTGTCTCAGCTTCAGGACCATCCACAGGGATCTGCAGCACCAGAGAGAAGGTCCCAGAGAAGGGGCAAGACAAGCAAGATGGGTCAGCTCCCAACACCTGCCTGGGGTTCGGGGGTGAGAGAGACTTTCCCACCTGTCACTACAGCCATAGGATCCCTGTCAGGTTTGTCCAACTCTTCAGTATGCGGTTCCAACTGTCCTGCACCCTTCCAGATCCTTCCAGAGCCCCAGATGTGGCCAGGCCTGGGGACTCATGCCTGATTCAGGCCCCTGAATTCCCAGATTCGGGAGCACCCAATGCTCTGGATGTGGCCAAGCAACCCCAGCTAGGCCACTGCAAGTCACCAGCCAGTGCCAAAGGCACGTCATGCCACATGGGTGTCCGCTGCTCAGAGGGGGAGCTGTCCCTCTGGAGATGAGGGCACGAGGCTGGAGTGGCCAGGGCAGCTGTCTCCCCCTGAGTGCCCTGGCTCATTTGGTAACAGAAGAAACAAGATCTGATACAAAGCAAAAAGGTGTCCACAAAGCATCAGCTTGGGCAGCAGGAACCACCAAGTATAAGGACCACTGGACCTGGCCTCGCGGGCGTGACTGAATCTTCCACTCTGGGGGTTGTTCATTCCCAGACCACTGACACTAAGCATGTAACTACGGCATCTGAAACGGCGGGTACTGGAGGTCATGGCTGCACCCAAGGACAAGAGAGAGGACCACCCCACCCCGAGTTGCCCGGTTGACCCCGGGGGGAGAGCCCCTGCCTCCCGCCAGGAATGTAAGACCTTCGGGGCCACGGAACCCAGATACGGCAGTCCTGCTCTGCCTGGCTTTTCTGGGACAGAGGATTCTGAACAAACCCACCCATTGAGGAGGAAGCCATTATTTTAAAATTCTAGAAACCATGTAGGTTGAGTGTGCAGGGCCAGCCAGGGGCTACTGGCTGTTTAATCGGGGAGTGTTTGCCGATGAGCACACAGGCAGGCTCAGGGACCCCGGCAAAGGTGGCTTCCTGGCCACCGTCCAGGCCCCAGAGTCGGTTCTCCCTGGGCCTGGCGGGCACAGTCACGGCCCCAACAGACGTCCATGTGGGCATGTCCCCTTGCATGGCAGAGGAGCACTGCAGGTGTGACTGTGAGGCTCTGGAGACGAGACAATCCCAGTGACATCACAGGGGCCTCACAAGAGGCGGCAGGAGGGCAGAGGCAGAGAGACACGGAGGTCAGACATGCTCTGGACGTGAAGAAGGGGTCTGGAGTGGAAGGGGCCTGAACTCAGCCTCCCCTAGAAGCTGGGTAAAGCAAGAAAAGCCTCTCCCTACAGCCTCCAGAAGGAACACAGCTCTGCCAAGAACTTGCTTTTAGCCAGTGAGACCCATTTGGAATGCCAACCTCCAGATAACTTGTTTCGTAAAAGTCACCAAGTTTATGACAATCTGCTACAGTGACCACCGGCTACAGGCTGAGGCGAAGGCCCGCCTGGGGATCTCCAGCGCTCCCTCCAGCATGCTGGTAGGCAGCCCCCCCACCCTGGCCCCGCTTACCTGGCTATCCCCAGGAGCAGGGAGAGACCCCAGAAGGTTGTGCTCAGCGTCCACCAGCGGGCAGAGTCCACGTGCAGGATCTTGGCATCAGCAGCCCAGGCAACATGTTCACAGGGGTAGTAGAGCTGGTCAGCAAGGTTGCCCAGGACAGACACACAGCGGACAAAAATGTCCTCCTCCTGCAGGACCAGGAATGGGGTGTATGGGATGGGCTTGGGGCCCAGGCCGTGCCAGAGACGTCGCAGGGCAAGCAGGCTGCCCATGCTGACACTGCAGCAGGTCCTGCCTCCTGCCCTCAGCCGTCTGGTTGTCACTGCCCACGGGTCTCAGCTCGGCTGCACAGCAGCCCTCGGGGACGCTCGAGCTCCCCAGCCAGCGCCCAGCCCAGGGATGTGCCTCCCCAGGTGTGCGGTGGGGTCCACCTGGGATTTTTATTTTAAGTTCCCAGGTGATTCCCACATAGGGCAACTCAGATACCCCACATTTCGGCCTTCCTGTCCTGAGGGCTTCCAGCCCTACACACAACCTCCAGGTCAGGCTCTCCCTGAGGGGAGCCTTGCAGGCATCAGTACAGAAAACCCTGACCAGGCGGAGTGGGTGGGGCCACCAGGGCCTCCTGGGCACCTGGGCACTGAGCTGCAAGGCTGGACTCACATCCCTCCAGAGAGGGTCACCATCCCCACCAAGAGGCAAACAGAAGCAGTTAGGGTACCTGCCTGCTCCATCTCGGATGGGGTGAAGTGGCAAAACATGGGGGCTCTCTGGCCCATATGGACTCATGCCCTCCAAAGGGACCGCTGATGCCCAGGAGTCTGTTCCTGGGGCTGCATTTCTGGGCCCCACCCCCAAGTCCGCTCGGCCCCCAGTCTCCTGCTGCCCAGCTCCTTCCTAATGGCCAATTGTAGCCCTGCCTCAGTGGGGTTCAAAGCCCCACTCCATCTCCCCCATTTTGCCTAGGACCTTCTGATGTGATTTGGCACATTTCACCCCATAAAGACGGCCCCCCACCTCTGTCCCAAAGTGCTCATCCCACTGCCATCTCCTGGAAAGCAGCAAGGTCCCCACCCTGCCCAGGGCGGGGACGCTCTCAGGGGCAGGGGGGGAAAACAGACACATAAATGCAAGCGCCAACACAAGGGGTCCTTGCTCCAGCCAAGGGACACCCAAGGTGCAGCATCGCCGCCCCTCCCCCTGCCTGCTGCGGACCCAGCAGAGACCTGGGCACCTGCCCTAGTCAGAGACCATGCGGAGCTGGTGTCAAGGTTAGGACACAGTCTAGAGAAAGGCTGGAGCGTTGAGTGATCATCTCACGGGCAGGGGGTGGAGTGGCAGCGCGTCTAGGGGGACTGTCGCCTGGAGGGACAAGATGGATCGCAGGTGAGAGATAGCACCCCAGATCTCTGGCACACATGCGGGATGGCACGGCACTTCTGTAACTGCAAATAATAAATAACCTACATGGCCAACAAGAGAGGGTGGGTCAGGTAAGTCACCAGCCTGCTACGAGGTGGAGAATGAAGTGTGTGGCCACGGGCAAGGAAGAAGCTGGTTGTGGAGCTAAGGAATGACCTCCAAGTTGTGCTGTTTAGTGAAAAGAGCCAGGAGTGGGGCAGGTGAGAGGCACACAACTATTTCTGTAAACACTGTAGTCCCCGGAGTACAGAGCCCACGAAGGAGATGCAAGCAGCTGACAAATTTGCCTCTAAGGAGGAAAACCGGGGGTTGAGAGTGTCTGGAAGATTTTATTTTTAATGATTCAATCTTTTGGAATATGCAAGTGTATTAGCTATTTTTTAATGTAACTTAAAATAAGAACATCTAACTTCTTAAAAAGTGAAATTTTGCAAAATCATAAACTACCCACGAATTTTTAAAAGTCATGTGGGCTTTAGACAAGCCATAAAACACCAGCTTTCCAGGGTCTGCACCCCCTCCCGACACCCACACCCCATTACCTCTGCCCCCAGGCCGTAGTGCTTAGTGTAGACAAACATGGCCAGGTCATCAAAGAGTCGCAGGACGGTCCTGCAGTGACTGAGTTGGGAGGACAGCACCAACAGGCGGGTTCCCACTTCTGACCTGGCCGGACATTTTTCAACCAGGACCCCGCCAACCAGCTGACAGCAGTACCCTAGCGTTCGGATCTGTGGGGAACCAGAAGTAGTCAGCATGGCCCTGCTACCACACAGAGCTGATCTATGGGCCCCGCCTTTCTATGGGCCCTGCGTGATCAAACAGGCAGAAGAGTCTAAATCAACAAGATTTTAATAAAAGCTAAGGGAAGTTTAAAAACAAACCGGTAGGTGGGACAAAAGGCACCGTGGGCCTGCCAGTGTGCTGGCTCTGTCACGCAGGGCACAGCCTCAGGAAACAGGTGTAACAGCAACAAGGGCATGAAACCCCCATTTCCTTCTTGTTGGATCCTCCTTTTCCCAGCAGGCAGGGCTGGGCGGAAACGTACACTTCTATGTACCTGACTGGAGCAAAGCCCTAGGCTGGGCTAGGGAGTGGGAAGGCGATCAGGTCTCAAGCCAGTGGACCAACAGGCACATTGGCTTGAATTACTTTCATGAGAGGGAGCCACTCAGTGAGTGGCGGGGGGCGCTGCACATTGGGTCAGGGTCGACACCCTTGTACCTTTATTTCACCTGCCTTTCAGAAATTACTTTTTCCTGGTGTTTTGTATATTACTTTCACTGAGATTGCTTTTCAGCTCCTTTGCAACGGCAGAACACCGCAATGTGAACTTCCAATTTGGGGGGATTTGTTAAAACCTGAGTAGGGGTTTTGGCTGGAACCCAGATGCTCACCCACAGGAATATTCCCTGGTGCAACCTAATTGCCTAGTTAGAGAGACACTGGTCGGGACAAGCTGAGAGTCCGACCTCAGGGGTCTCAGTGAAACAACCTAAATGCTCAGGCGTAGGGGATGTGGTCAGAATCTAAACACCCAGCGACGGGAGAAGCCCTGTGAAATCCTAAGTCCCACGTGAGGTTGCTGGGGACAACCAGGGACCGACTGCAGTGGCCTCGTCAAATCCTAAATGTCCGAACACGGCTCTTCGCCTGGAAGCGTGCGGTCAGGTTAAGTTGGCCGCAAGTGTGGGTGTTTGCTGGGGACGTAATACCCAGCCACGGGTGGAGCCCGCGGCGTCCTGAAGTCTCGTGGGAGCTTGGCCGGGGCGGCCCGGCGACCCCTCCGGCAGTGTGGTCGGATCCCGAGAGTTCAAACGTGAGGACCGGGTGGATCCCGCAAAAGTCCCGTCACGGGGCGTCGGCCAGAAGCCCCCCACCGCCGGGGGACGGGGCAGGGGCCGACTCGGACAGGCGCGGATTCGGGGGTCCCGAGCGAGCCCGCCCCTCTCTGGCCTCAGTCTCCCGGACTGCGCTCTGGCCCCACTCGGGGCCGCCAGGCCGCGCTCCGCCCCAGCCTCACCAGGCGGTCCCGACCCCGGTAGGATTCCAGCGCCGACGCCAGGCCGCTCACAGACGCCATGGCAACTTCGCCGTGACGTCACCGCGACGTCGGCGCGCGGCGCCGGGGGCAGGCCCGAGCGCGGCGCCCGGGCACGTTCTGCGCAGGCGCAGCCCCGACCCTTTGTCCCTGAGCGCGTCCTTTGTCCTGCGCCCGCGGGGTCGCGTTCGCCGCCGGGGTCAGCGCCGCGCCGTCCGCGCCCAGCGCCGCGGGCCGCCCCGGAGGTCGCGGCTGCCTGCCCCGCGGCGGCTGGGCCTCGGGTGGTCCCCCAGCTGCCCAGAGGGCTTCTCTCTTAGATGCCTTCGCCCCTTCCGCGGTGTCTCGTCAGTGACGAGCACGCGGCCTGTGCGGTAGCAAGCAGGGCGTTTGGGAAAGTGATGGAAACGCATAGGATCGTTCTGGAAGAATAGATAAGCATCTGGTCGCCAGAGTAGCTCCAGAAGGGTAGCCGGGAAGAGATCGAATGTTCATCTTTGAGGAACATATTGTGGCTGTTGAATTTTGTTCAATATGCGAATATTACCGTCAATTTTTTTTTATTTAAAAGTTAGCATGACCCATTGCCTTTTTTTAAAAAATCAAGGTAAAATTCACGTAACACAAAATTCACCATGTACAGCTTGGTGTGTTTAGCACATGCACACGTTCAACATCACGCCTTTGTACTTTCAAAACATTTTCATCGATCTCAGTCACTCCCTCCCCCACCTCCCTGCGACCCCTGTTTCCGCTCTACCTATTCTGGATATTTCATTTTCATGGAATCATGTAGCATGTCACCAAACATGTCACTCAACATGTTTTTGAGGCTCATCCTGTTATAGGACAGGGAGAGGGGCAGCCCAAACCCCCGCAAACCTGCCTATTCTAAATGGGTTCTGCCATCCGCCGCATCAACAGAAAACATATGACACTTTAATGGGAAGGAACTTTAATAAAAACTAGGAAACAATACAGGTGAGGCAAAGAGTCTAGTTTCTAGATGAAGCACCCAAAGTTACCCATCCCCTCGTGGGTAAAACTCCATCCATATGGGGTCGGCCCAGAGCAAGGCCCCAAAGCCTGCCCCAAGTCTAAAGCATCTTCCAGTGGGGACCCACAGAAAAGGGTCAAACAACCGGACAAGCCCGGAAGGAAAAGAGCAAAATCAACATCCAGATAAAAGCTGCCATTGTCACCTCCCCACGGGTCTCACCCACATCTGTGTCACCCCGTCCACGACCAAAAGACAAGCGCAGCTTCTTCACGTGTCTCTAGGCTCCATGTGCCTCCTCCAGGTCTCCTGGCTCCATCCTGCTTCCTTCCTCAGTCTCTTCTGCAGCTTCTCCTCTTCCTGCTCAGCTCCACCCTCCCTTGGGTGGGGCAGGGAACCTCCCCCTTTCCTGGGACCACCCTGTTACAATCCTCGTGTTGTACCAGTGCTTCCTTCCTTTCATGACTACATAATAGCCCTTCGGACATACCATTTTGTTTATCTGTTCATCAGTTTTTCTGCCTTTTGGCTACTGTGACTAATGCTATGAACTTAGTGTACTTGTACTTGTTTGTGTCCCTGCTTTCAACTCCTGGGGAGATACATACACTTGGGAGTGGAATTGCAGGGTCAAACAGTCACTCCAGGTTTGACTTTTCCACAGCGACTGCACCATTTTACATTCCCACCAGCAATGTGTGAGGGCCTAACTTCTCCACAATTCAGCATTTACTTTCCTTAAGTAGCCATCCTGCTGCATGTGGGGTGGGTAGCTCACAAGTTTGTTTTGCATTTCCCTAGTGACTAATGATGTTGATGATGATGATACCTTTTGCAAAGTATCTCCTCTTGATTTCAGCTCTCATTCTTCTTCCTGCCTCCTCACTCCTTTCCATTCACGTAGCCTTTCTCCTGTTCCCTGGAGTTGCTGCACATTTGGTCTCAGAACCTATGTGTTGGTTGTCATCTGTCTGGAATGCTCGCTTCCCAGATACCCGCACAGCTCCCTCCCTCATCTCTTCGAACATCATCTTCTCAAGTTACCTCCCTGTCACACTCTCCTGGGCACTTTATACCCACAGTTTCTGCTGCTTTTGCACCTTGCCTTATAACACTAAGTTTACGATGTGTCTCATGTATCTAGTTATCTGTCTAGTTATCTTTCCTCAACAGAAAATAAACTCCACCAGGGTAGGGATTTTGGTCTGTCTCATTCAGTTTTAGCCCCACAGCTGATACAAAATAGGTTCTTTGTATAACAAGTGTAAGAGCTTAGCTCCCTCTCTAGGACTCACTGTCCATGCTCTATCCACACTGCCCCAGGAGACTTGTCCACTCCCATGACTTCTGTAGCCATCTCTTTGCTGGCCTCTCCCCCATCGCTCTCCTGTCTTCAACTTCCCCCTGGACATTTCCCCTGTACATCCCACAGGCCCCCCGGCACTCAGCAAGTCCCACATCATCCCTAGACACCTTGCTCTACCATGCCCCCACCTAGAACACAGCTTGCCAGCTACCTGCTGGCGCCTGGACATCATCATGCTCATCTCTTTCCAGCCACACATAGCACTACCCACGTCACACCAGTCACCAGAATATCCCTTGAATTCATCCACTACTTCCATCTCATCCCCCTCCACAGGCAGTCCCCATCCTCTCTTACATGCACCCGGGGGCACTGCCTCCCCACGCCTGCCTTCCACGTAACATCTCAAGAGACTCTTATCCTCATGTCCGACCACAGCCATCCTTGCTGGAGATTTGGGTTCAGGCAGCTTGTGTACCCCACTCCCAATTAAAGATACTTTCTGTAGCAGGAAAAATCCTAGCCAAGTCCAAAGTCTGCAAAGAGCCGGGCCTCGGGCTGGAGAGTGCTGCTGCATGAACCTGCACTGTCCCCACTGCCCTGACAAGCTACCAAAGGCATGTCTCGGAGCATCTGCTGTGTGCTAGACCCTGTTCTAGGTACCAAGGATACAACAGTGAGCCTGGCAGGCAGTGCCAAGCCCTCCCAGTGTCCTCCAGCACCTGGTTAGGGCTGGGTGTGACCTTTAAGAAAGAGATGAGAGCCGGCCCGGCATTCACAGTTGGCATCAGTGTTGCTAGCAGCTGGCTGGTAGTCTCAGCCTGGTGTTTTCCTGCTGGATGTAAATAAGATCGCAGAATGCCAACATCTGACAAGGCCATTCTGTGACCATGGTGAAGCAGACAAAATATGTCCACTCCTGTAATCATGTCTGAATCCAGGCAAAACATGAGCATTGTCCAAATCACAACAGTGACTAGATGTTTCACTTTCCCTGACTCAGATGAGTCACTGCTGCTCCTGTAATCAATCAAAGGATTAGACTTAGTTCATTCCTTAGATGTCTTTTTTTTTTTTACATTTCAAATGGACATTTATTAGGAAAAGGAGAAATAAAAAGAGAGGCACCTGCACAATCACAGGCAGGCAGGAGAGTTGTGTCCTTCAACATCTTGATAAAAATAATTAAGATCCTTGATAATAGAATTATCTCTCCCCCTACTATCTGATGGCACCCAGGATCAACCTCAAGGGCCCCCCTTTTCCCAGCAGATAGGAGGATTAGGCTGAAATGTATATTTGTATCTACCTGTCTGGACCAAAGTCACTGGGGTGGGGGTGGGTATCAGAGCTGAGGGGCAGGGACTGGAATCTCAACCTAGTGGACATAACAATTTACTCAAATGTAGTGAATCCTAGAAATCTAAATACAGGGGTTACAGATAACAAACTGTGTTATAAACATTAACTTAGCTAAGAGGCCAGATGTTAATTATTCCAAATTATTAGAATAAATGATAAAATTGAAGACAATAAAATGCAAAAAAAGCAAAAGAAAAAAGAAAACAAATTTTAATTTAAAAATGTGAAAGAAGGGCCTCCCCGGTGGTGCAGCGATTGAGCGCTGGGTTGCGAAGCTGCCCGCAGCCTCTGCAGTGCTGGTTCGATCCCCGGCTGCTCCCCGGCCACCGGAGGAGGGTCCCACATGGCGCGCAGACCTCTCCTGCCACCCACTGCTCCCCTCAGCAGTGTACTTGGGTCCTTCTGCCTGCTCTGCTCCCTGCTCTGGCTCTGGTGAATCCTCTCACCCTCTCGCGCTTCTGACTGTACCCAGTGCTTGTATAAATAAATAAATAATAAATCTTAAAAAAAAAATTGAACAGGTGTGTGAATCTCATGAAAATTTAAAAAAAAATAAAAAATAAAAAAATAAAAATGTGAAAGAAAAAACTAAAGGAATGCTATTATGCCATGCAACAGTTTATGTTACAATGGCCATCACATAGTAATACAATGTATCAAAGCAATATGTTATACCCTTAAACTGACACAATGTTATTGATTATATTTCAATTAAAAAAAAAAGATGGCAGGTGACTTGGAGTATCCTCAATTGAGACAGCTCAACACTCTTATGTATTTATTTCATCTGTTGTTTTTGCAAGTTGCTTTTTCCTTTTAAAAAAAGTTTGAAGGAAGGGCCTCCCCTGGTGGCGCAGGGGTTGAGCGCTGGGTTGCCAGGCTGCCCGCAGCCTCTGCAGGGCCGGTTCATTCCCCAGCCGCCATACAGGGTCCCACAAAAAAAAAAAAAAAGTTTGAAGAAAACATACATAATGTATTTACCATCTTAACCACGTTCAATGTCCAGTTCAGGAGCATCGAGCACATTCACATGTTGCACAGCCATTCCCACCCTCCATCCCTGGAATGTTTTCACCTTGCCCAACTGAAACTGTCCCCATAAAACACTAACTCCCTCCTTTATGGTTGTTTTATATATAACTAGTCAGACCATCTCAAGAGAGATGATCTCAGGAGGTCCCTCCTGCAGTGCTGGAGGCCTGGATTTTTCCAGCCACAAGTGTGTTCCTGATAGCATTTGGGCTAACATCTTTAAGAGTGCCGTGGTTGTCCATGAGCCCTTGGGTGACACTGAAGGTGCAGTGACTCAGAGAGGTTGGCACGTCCTGCATGGACAGTGTTTGGATGCAGATGAGCAGGAAAAATTTGGAAAAAAGCTAACAGTAGATGCCTGCAGCCCACTGCATCAAATCCCACTGCTGCTTTCTGAAGCAGACTCACTCGCAGTCCATTTTTCTCTATGACAAAGCAGACGTGAGAAGTCAAGTCGGGCTCCCTCCAGCTCTCAGGGGGCAGATCCACTGACATTGCTCCTGTCTTTTCTCCCGGCTACCCCGAGTTGCTGGGGGACCATTGTGACTGCGCTGTCCGGGGAAGGTATTTGAGTCACAGTGCGCAGGGCGGGACCACACTTGGATGCAGCCTTGGAAGGAACATGTGAGCATCCTCTGGGAGCCCAGGAAAAGAAGTCTGGAGGGTCTGGCCCATGCCAAGCACAGTTCCTAAGACTCATTAGCCCCATGGCATCCCTCGAGGTAGGCATGCCACCCTCGTCACTGATGAGGTAACTGAAGCTCATGGGAGCTTGGTTGCTTATTCCGGGGTAACCTGGCTAACCTCACCTGTCAGATTTCCCATAAGATATTTGGAGTCTCCACTCTCAATATTTTAATGGCAAGTGGCCCTCAAAAAGCATCAAACTTAGGCATTGAAAAAATGTAGTTTTGTTAAAACTTTTGATGCATGTTTTCTAAAGAGGGTAACATGGGCAAGTAGTTGTGAGCTGGTGTGGGAAGGGCTCCCGGCAGGAAGTGAGACTGAGTCAAAAATGCTGGTGACCAGCATTTATGAGGGGGCAGAGTAGAAGTTGGGGGAGACCAAGTGGGGAGAAACCCACTTGGCAGGGTGCTGAGAGCCCAGAGCTGAAGGTCAGAAAATTGAGTGGGAGGTGTGTAAACCTCAGAGAGTTTGAAGACAGGAAGAGACCCAGGAGACTAGTCAGGGCCCAGGACAACTGCAAAAGGCAGAAAGACAAGTGAGGAGAGGTGTGGCGTAGAGAGGATAGCAGTTAGGGTTGGGCAGAGGGACAGAAGTGGGTTCCCAGACACGGAAGGGAGAGCCATGACCTTGAGGATCCACAGAGGGCAAGGAGAGGGGGCTCCATTATCAGAATGCAGGGGTTAAATTCTGCCACTCTCCAGCTTGCTTGTTGCACTGACCACAGGGCCTTTGCACCTGCTGTTCCTTCTGCCTGAAATGCTATTCCCCCAAGTACCCAATGCTCTTTTCCCAACTTTTTTAGGTTTTTGCTCAACTACTATCTCATGATGCCTTCCACGACCCCACTATTTAAAACTGCAGCCCTCCCTCCCTAAGCCCCATCACTGTATTTTCTGTGACTTATTCTGTAATTTATGTTATAGTTATTCACTGTTGCTTGTCACCTCCAAGACCCATTAACTCACCAATGCAGGGCTCTTAGTAAGTTTTGTTAGTGATGGGCCCCCTCCACGGGCCTGGAACTGTGCCTCGCCACCTACTGTTTCTAACGCCAAGTGAATGATTATTTATGACTCTACTGTTCCCCAGGAACAGTTCGCACAGGGGCTGCCCCTGTTTCTTACGAGGTCTTAGGCGCAGGCTCAGTCCTCTGTTTCGGCCTCTCCGCAGGTGCTGCCCTGTCAGGGGCGGGCCACGGGCGCCCTCCTGCCCAGCCCGACGTTGGGAATGGACTTCCTCAAGGCCTCTCACTTCGCGTTGGGGCCCGACCCGCGACTGCACTTGGGTGCCATGTGCTCCACCTCGCACCGGGACTTCCCCAGCCACCCGGTGGCCGCCCGCAAGCTGCGAGGCCAGCCGCCGCGCTCGCCCCTCTTCCAACAGGACCGGTCCTGGGCGGGCGGGGAGCAGGTGTCCGAGGCGCATCGAGCATTCACGCCCCCAGGCGAGACCGGGCGGGAGCGGGAACCGGCGCCGGCGCTCGCGCAGGACAAGCAGATCAGCCACCTGCACATCCGCGCGGACGCGCGCGCCCGCACCAGCCTCCCCACCGTGCGCGCCGACTATGGCTGGGTGGAGCTGCCGCCGCGCGCCAGAGAGCGGATTCGCGGCGCGCGCCTCATCTTCGACCGCGACTCGGTGCCACCGGGCGACCCCGCCAAGCTGCGCATCCCGCTCACTACGTACCAGGAGTTCTTCCCGCCCCACGACTCCTGCCCACATCTTTGCACCCACCTCGGTGAGCGCGCGCCCGGGGCGGGGGGGGGGCGCTATGGGGGCTATAGCAAGTCTCAAGGCCTTTGGGGATACTTCGTCCTCCCCACCGCCCACTCCCCCACCCCCGCAGGTGGCAACTTCTACAGGCCATTCTGGTTGTCCTGGCTTAGGGAGGAGGTGGTACTGGCAGCGTGTGGATGGTGGTCAGGGATATTGTACATCCTACCACACCCAAGGACAACTCCCCACAACAAAGAATTCTCCAGTCCCAAATGCCCATAGTGCGGAGGCCAAGAAACCCTGGAATCTTTTTGAGCTTCCATTTCTGCAACCACAGAATGAAAATAGCTCCTGAATCGCTCCAGGATGCGGTGGGCAGAAGTCATGAATGCTGGTTTGGGGTCAGACAGATCTGCTAAGTAGCCCCAACCCAACCCTGCCATCTTAGTAATTAGCAGCAAGTGGACCTCTCTGGCCCCAGTTTCCTCATCTGTGAAATGGGCACAATCATAGGGTCCCACTTTAGAGGAGTTAGTGAAGCAGAAAGAGCCAAAGAACATGATGTGCATGTGATATAGTGAGTGGTGGAGAAAAGGTAGGTACCATCTGTGTGATTTTCCAGTTCTGCGGCTCCAGTGGCCGCTGGTGGACTTCATGGACAGAGTCCCTCCCACCTGGTCTCAGGGATAATCAGGCCTGGATGGGAGTTGAGTCCTGGTTCTGAAATTTTTGGGCTTTCTGGCAAGTTCTCACTTCTTCAATCCTCATTGAGACTGTAAAATAGTGGTGGTAGGGGGATAATACCAGCCCCCAGAGTGAGCTACCTGGTCCAAAACTCGGAAGCTGTTCTTGTTCCTGTTATTTCTACTGCTGGTGTTTTCCAGGCAGTCCCCAGGCAAGGCCAGTCAGGATACCCTCCCCTTCTTCAGGCAAAGAATCCCATTCCAGGGCCTCCCTGGTGGCGCAGAGGTTAAACTCTCAGTGCTATCAAGCTATTGCCAGCCACTGTGGCATGAGTTCATTGCCTGAGTTTGATCCCTGGCCAGGGAGCTACCCACATGGAGCAGCAGACCTCTCCTGTCTCCCCGCTGCTCCCCTCAGCAGTGTATTTCAGTGGATCCACCTGTTCTGCGCCCTACTCTGTCTCTAGTGAATCCTCACCCCCCACACCTCTGGCCTACACCCCAGCTCTTGTATGCATAAATAAATAAAATAAATCTTAAAAAAAAAAAAAAGAATCCCATCCCACTGGACCCGAGGCTGCAGGGAATCAATCCCTCTCTCCTTTTGACCATCCTCAGAGGGCCCAAATCCCCTCAAGTGGGACCAAAGGAAACAGGACAATGAGACCTCCTACCAAAGACAGTTCCAGGCTCTGCCAAGTGCACCTGCCTTGATGTGTAAGAGGGTAAATCAAGGCTGGGCTGGGAAGGGCAGTGATGGGGACTGGGTGGCCTTGCCTTCCCCACCCTTCTCCTCCCGCAGGCCTCCTCCAGTGTGAAGATGGGAGACGTCAGGAATGGCTCTGGGCCCATGTGTTCTGAGCAGAGGCAAGCCTATGGGCCTCAGGGTCTGCCCCCAGACAGGTACACAGGACCATATCCCTACACCAAGGCAAGTCAAAGGCTCCCACTTATCCGTGTGCCATCTAAGGTCCTAGGGCCATATTGCGCCTCACAGCTCCCCATCAGTCGCAGGCAAGGCCCACTGTTGTCCTCCCATCATCTTCACTCCACAGCTTGGCCCTTGGGAAGCCTGCCCCCCACCCTTTTCGTGGAAGACTCAAGAGCCCAGATCAGCTGCCTCCCCATATCTGTAGGTATGACAAGGCCCAGGCATCGGCCCGCATCCACCGTGTAAATATTCGGCCTGGGGACGGCCTTTTCCGTGGCCAGACCAGCAAGGACGAGCACTTCTACGCCCGGGAGCCAGGTGCGAGCCTGCTGCCTGCCCTACCCCTCACCTCCCGGGCAGGCTCCCAGAGCAGCTCAGAACCTACTCTACCATTGGCAGAGCCTTTCGTTGCTCACCGCGACCAGACTCCACAGTCGCACATCCTGGAAGGAAATGGGTGTCCCGGCCCAGGCAGCCTGGCCACGTTCATGCACTTCTTCTACGGCCAGGTCAGCAGCAAGCGAGAGCAAGTGGTGCCCCTCCACAGGGTAAAGGGCCTCGGGGCAGAGTGGGGCAAAGGCCCTGAAGTGGGAGTGAGCCTGACATTAATGCAAGGATCTCCTCCTGGCTCTCCTGCCGAGAACAGGTCCCTGAACCACTCACATTCCCAGGGGCTCTACCTGTACCATGAGACCAGAGCGAAAACTCCCAGGGTCCTCAGTTGGGGCCCCAGAGGGCGCCTAACCCTAACCCTAAGCCCTAGCGGGCCTCCTCCCTCCAACCTGGCCTCGGACATCCCGCACACGGGAACTTCTAAGATGCCACGTGGTCCTACAGCCACCACCCGCGACCAAGCCGCCCAGCCGCCACCAGCCTCACGAGACACTGCAGACTCACGTGGTCCTAGGCGAGTCGGCGCTGCTCAACCAGTTCTTCCAGACCTCAACCGGCAGGGATTACAGCCCCCCCAGGACACAACGGCTGGTCAAAGCTCCCAGCCTACACTTGCAGCGCAGCAACCTGCCCGAGGGCACCGGCGGTGAGCGCGACCCCACCCGCCCCAGAAGGCCCGGCCCCGCCCCGTCGGCCCGGCCCCGCCCACTGCCCTGCCTCTGTGGGTCCCACAGCATGGACGAAGACGTCCACTCCGCCCGTGCACAGCCTCGCTAGTGGTCATGGCTGCCCAGGCGCCGGGCCTTCCTCCAGGCTCCGCCTTCTGCGTGACTCCGCCCGCTGGCCGTCGTAGCCCCGCCCCTTCCACGCCCCTCGCCGGCCTCTAACCCCGCCTCCTCCCTCAGGCCCCGCCCACCAGCGCCCGCGCTGCAGGCCGGTCCCCACCCCGCCAACCTCGCTGCCTCTGGCTTCCTAGGCCCCACCCGGACTCCTCCTCATCCACCCTGCTCCGGGCTGGCCCACTCTTTGACACCCTGAACCCTTCTTTAGTCTCTGACACCCTTGCCCCGCACCCCGCGGCCCTGCTTCTCCTCCCTCAACCCTCCACTCAGCCATCCCCAACCCAAATCTCCAGAACCAGATTTTTTAACGATGAACCAGAAGATGCTGAAGCCACACAGAGCAGCTCCAGCCTCCATGACTGAGGAGATGCTACAGCGGGTGAGGGGGTGGGGACCTCCCTGACCAGGTAACCGCCAAAACACGGTAGAGTTATCTTAGGATGATCACATCACCTCACACTCGAACTTAGTCCACTCAGGGACACTGGGGTCACCATAGGCTCAGGGTCATGTCACCCCAGCCTCAAGAGCATCCCTCGCTTATTCCCAGGGTCATGTCAGGGTTAGTTAGGAACATCTTCATGTCACCGGCCACCATTATACCGGAGGTTGGCTCAGAGCACCCGCCATGACTCATTCCATTCTCATCTAGTTCAAGGGTCAGATGAGACTGGAGCCCCTCTTGTCCACCTCTCCAGGCTCCAGTTAACCAATCTTGTCTGAGCCTTTCCCTGCCCTTTCATGCTTCCGGGGTGGTGTGGGGACCATGGGTGCCAGGGTGAGCTCACCACGCTCCAGCCTTCTCTCTCCACCCTGATTCCACAGTGCAAATATAGCCACATAGAGCCCCCGCTGGGCAGACAGCATTTCTTCTCAACTCATCACAACGATGACTTTAACTTCAAATACCAGGGCCCAGCAGTGCTGAGAATGGACAACTCCCAGGAAAGCTACGTGCCACTGGGCACCTTTCGCCAGTGGGGCTGTAGGGCTAGGAAGGTAGACCCACAGGCCCCCCAGACCCCTTTCTACCCATGCCCTAGCCAGCAATAAACACTGCCTTGGCAAAATCGCTCCCCTCTCCATAAGTCAGCTATGAAGGTGGATGTTTGGAGGTGTGTGGTCTGTACAGGAGAGATGACGCCATCAAGAAGACCCTGAACAGACAATTCGGTGGACCCTGGAAGTCACCCCAATCTGGGCAGGGAAACTACACCAGCTTGCGCAGACTTGACAAAGCTGGTGTAGGGTGTTCAGGTATGTAGATGAGCTCTGGATGCTGTGGAGAGGATGGAGTGGCCAGGAGTTGAGCATACAGGCTTCTGGGGCCAAATGGACAGAGTGCACATCCTGACTCCTCCACATCCTGGGTGATAGTCTAGGACCAGTCATTTACTCTTCTGAGGTTCAGATACCTTGTCTGTAAAATGGAGATAAATAGTAGCTTTCTTATGTTGTTATAAATGAGAAATGTACACACTTGTCAATGTGTATATGGCTGGCACGTCTAGGAGGGAGAGCTTCCTTCCTGAGGATGATGAGGAAGCGGGAGGAAGATGAAGATGTGGGACGGCACTTTCATGGAGAGACTGTAAGACTTGGAGGGAGGGTGGAGGGGTGGGCACCTGAGAATAGCTCAGCAAGTCCCTCCATTGTGGGTGGACACTGGGACTGAATGGTCCTCTGGCTGATTGGGCTTCTGGTCTCCAAGCCAGAGCTGGGTCCAGAAGCAAACTGATGAAATTAATCAGGACATGATGCAGCCCAAATGGGTAGGTTTAAAACCAGGGACAAAATGAAAAGAGCAAAAAAGGAGAAGGATGGGGTGGGGCTCTAATGTCAGTGAGTGACAGAGCTGAGCAAGCAGGTCAATAACTGGTACCTTGGACAGCGGCCCCCCCACCCCACCCCCACCCCCCGCCTTGAAGGTTTGGCATCTAAGAAGCCAACTTAACCTGAGATAAGACGAATCTTGGTGGCCATGTGTTGGCAGCCTGCTGCCCTAAAGGGAGCTGGAATTCTCTGAGAGCACCTGTTTACTCTGCACATGGAGTTCCAGGAGGTTAGAAGTTCTGCAAACAGAACTTCCCAGAATTGACTCCTGTTCTCTGAGGACATTCTGGTTTGTGCACATGTTCCCTACTAACTAGAAAAACTTGTTCCAGCAGTAACTTATTAATTTGTATACACATAAACACAACTGCATGCTATTTTCTTGTTCCTTTGTTCATATCTTTAATAAAAGCCTGAGCTGGGACAGTGAAACACAGAGCTGCTCTCGATGGCTCTCTCCCCAGTCTCCCCATTCCAAATTCATTTAACAAAAACTCTGAGTCTTTGTTAATAGCTGAGAGCTTCATCAGCTGTCCACAGCAGCCATGCCTGAGACTTGCCTCTGTAGATTGTTAAAAATTCAGTTTTAAGGAATTTGCACCACTTCCAAACCTTGTAGTGAGACCTTCAAAGACTAAGGCCATCAATCCAAAGAGTCACTAAGAGCCTAACCTGAAGCCTGGACAGAGGCCCTTTCCCTGGGGCAGTAAAGGACAGAAAAGGCTAGGGTTTAGCTTTGGGTTCTATTGGAACAAGGTGGCCCTTAGCTACACTCATTGGGTCCACATTGACCATTAGAGGATCCACTAGCTGTGGACATCTCTTCTGCATGGTTCCACCAGTGACATGCATGACACACTTCTAAATGACCTCATGATAAAGCCCAAATCCTTTTTGATAATTCTTTATTGTCAAGACCCATGGATTGTTGGATGTGTACCATTATCCATAACTTCAAATCACTGTATGCCAGTAGCACACTCCCCTCTCCTACTGAGTTGTGACAACCAAAATATCTCCAGACACTGTCAATATTTCCTGCAGGGAATTTTTGCCCCTGATTGAGAAATCACTGCAATATACCCTCTTAAAAGGATTTCCAGGACGAAATCATGGTCTTCTGATGAAAATGTCTGCCTGTTGACTAGACTAGATCAAAAAGGCTTTCACTTATTGCATTGCCTACCAGACAGCTCAGAACAGTTTACTTTGGTGTTCAGTTCCATGGGGTACCTGTGGCAGAATCATTTATGCTCCTTCCTGGTTCCAGGAATGGCTTAAAGCAACCCAGATACCAGCGCAGAAACAATGGGTAGGAGTTACAAGGAGGCAGATTTCAGCACAGCCTGAAGCATCTTACAATATAACTGACCAGCCCTGCAGTGAGTTGCTAGGAAAGAAGAGAAATGAGAAACTTTATGAGAAATTTTAATCAGTATGAAATGACACTGTGTTATGCTGATTCTGGCTGTATTTGGTATATTTGTATCTATTCCTCCTATATCTCACCCCCTAAAAAAATAGTATATTTGAACCACAAAAAAATGTGTATGACATAAGATGAGTAAAATGGGATTGAACATGGGAAAACAGATTAATTTTTGAAGCAAAATGCTATGTCAATGCTAAGCGTCACTGGGCAGCAGAATTCAGACTTGCCACTTGTCTTTCTGCCCTTGGGGAGGGTGATGTCATGCTTTGCCCCTCCCTTTATTCACAAACTGGGCATGGCAATACTTCTTCCCTCATAGAGTGGTTACAGGGATTATATAAACATATATAACATGTGTAAGGGGTCATTAGGGTCTAGTAGATGGCTGCAGTTCAATGACTAGGACCTAAATTTTGTTATTCTTAGGTAATTTTTGTTCCAAGTGACAGAAATCCAGCTCTATTGAGGTCTTGAAACAAACACTCTGGAATTAGGTGTTCCAGGCTTGCCGGTTCATCATCAGGACTCAGTCTCCCTCCAGGTGGTGGTAAAGTAGAATTCTGGTAGCCCAAATCCTTTTGATTCAAGCCCCAAGGGAAGAAGAGGGTCTTGCTCACAACTTCTCATATTGGAATTTAAGGAACACTCTGATCGGCCCATTTAACCCATGCCCAGTATGAAGCAGTAACTGTGCCCAGAGGAATGGAGGACTGTGATTGGATGGTTCAGCCCACTAGCCCTCCCCTGGGTGATTTCAATCTCCAAACCTCAACAATATCTTTCAGTCTGGAGCTCAGCCATGCAGGGAGTCTGTCTCCTAGCAACAGACAAGTGCTTGCCCATGCTCTTAACCTCTGTCTTGCTAAGATTACAATCCAGAGGATGGAAAGGCTCAGCTAATAGGCCCTTCCCAAAGAGGGTAACTGTTATTTATGAACAAGAAGTGTTCAGTGTTAGAGTGACCAAATGCCCCCCAGTTCTCTGATAATCCCAATCTTATCTCCCACTTCATTATTAGCTTCCTTTTATAGCTTGGGGCAGAGAGTTCAGCTCTGGCAGTCTGACAGAATCCAGCAGATGCTGGTTTTTGCTTTAGGAAGAGCACATAGAGGAGGCTCATGTCTGTTGAGAAGACCTTGCTGAAGACTTCATGAAGGCTCCCACATCCTGTTTCAACATCCTGATATTTTCCCCAAAACCCCACATGTCATGGTCTCAGAAGACATGTGATTAGAGTCTCAAGAGAAAACAGACAATTCTTTAGTCAGCCTTTTTTCTTCCACATAACAGATTTCTAGTTTCCAGAGGAGGGCTCTTCTGCAGTGCTGCCACATGCATCCTGGCAGGTTGTGCACCACACAAATCTTGGGAACCCTGTTCACGGATATGATAGACAATGATGGTGACTGGTCCTCCAGCTCACTTTTGTTCAGTGAACTTCACATTTAAAGTTATTTCCTTCAGGGCCTCCCCGGTGGCACAGCGGTTGAGCACTGGGTTGTGAAGCTGCCCACAGGCTCTGCAGCGCCGGTTCGATCCCCGGCTGCTCCCCAGCCACCGGAGGAGGGTCCCATATGGCGCACAGACCTCTCCTGCCACCCGCTGCTCCCCTCAGCAGTGTACTTCGGTCCTTCTGCCTGTTCTGCTCCCCGCTCTGGCTCTGGTGAATTCTCTCATCCTCCCGCGCTTCTGACTGTACTCAGTGCTTGTATAAAAATAAATAAATAAATAAATAAATCTTTAAAAAAAATAGTTATTTCCTTCAATGGTCTTCCCTTTCCAGGCACTGATTTCTAAATTAGTCAAGACTGTGATGGATGCAAGGGACATACATCCACAAAAAATAGCCTGAAATTTGTTGGTTCATGGTACTGGAAAGAATGAGGGCTCTGGCTTCAGGTATGGGTATATCCAGGAGCTCAATCAATGTAGCCAGAGCTGAATTTCTGACTCTCACATTTATATCTTGGTATAGACTGACTTAAGTCTATAGACTTTATCCAGACAACGGGGGAAGGTGACTGCAGGCAGACTGAAGCCCTATATACAGCTATTGATCCCAGTGGATGAGATTCTTCAACATCATGTTCTTACTACAGACTAATGATTGTGGCCAGGGAATGGGGTTCTCTGGTAAGTTTAGATTGCTTGGTACTGGGGACTGTGTTAGACACTGGACTATCTGGAATGGAATCCACAAAGGGAAAGTAAGGTGCTGGTAGAGGATCTGAGCAGACAGAAACAACAGCTGCCACTACAAGTGTTATTTGTAATGGGATCATCCAGAAGGTGGCAGGATGAGGAACCAGAGACATAATCCAATTGTGGTCTCAAATCTCTCAGATATGTTGTGGGCCACAGAAAAACGAAAAGCAGTTCTCAGGCCATAAGTCCAACAGAGATCTGGAAGGTTCAGGAAGGAAGAGAAGAGACTCCTGGAAGCCTGATTTTCTCAAGGCTGTACTCAAGGGTAGGTGCGATCAAAACTCACCAGCCAAATACTCTCAGAAACGCGTTTCTAGAATGTATTTTTTAAAAGACTTTTTAGCTTGTTCTGGCAAGAAAGGCCACATACTGGGGAGCCACAGAGCATCCCTGTAAGTGAGAACTGGGGGCAGAAGGGCATCTTTAGGATTCAGATTCATGCGAAGTAGTTTTAAGGAGAGGTGAAGTGAGGAAAGCAATTCTAGGTTGCTGCTGTCAGGAAGCAGGGAGCAGATTGGTGACTGGGTATTTGGGTGATTTTTTTCTCTCAGGTGGGAAGATGGAAGTGGAGCTGTCATCGGCAAGAAGTGGCAGTCATTTCTGTTAGTTGAGAGGGGGCCGTGTACTCCCCTCTGTGACTGCAGAATGTCCTTGTCTCTATCTTGGCGCAGACACAGTCACAGTGGCCTTGTCTGATCATTGTTTGTATTCGGTGACTGTTGTTTATGTTGTGAAGAACATCACAGCCCAGCTGCCAGCTGCTGGGATTGTTTTCACTCCCTCTTCCAGGCATCTGTGTCTCCAGGTAAAGTTTACCCAGAGCCCTTCCAGGCTCGCCCAGCTTCTCCAGAGCTCACCACCCCCAGCATCGGTCACAGGGCGCCTCCCAGGGACAGCAGAGAGTGACCCGCCGCTGGGCGGGCGGAGGAAGGCGCTCCAGGACAGCACCCCAACTCTCTTCCTTAGGGGGTCGTGAAGGGGCAGGTAAAGCAAAGATGAGCAAGTCTGGAAATCGCAGCTTATGATCAGTGCGGGTCTGAGAGAGATGGGGTGTCTGGGGACAAAAGTGGAATTGGAGCCGGGCGGGAGGCAGAGACGGGGCCGGACGCGCGGGACAGAGATGGAGGCGCCGCGGCGGAGCGCGGGCCGCGAGCCAGAGCCCGGGCTGGGGGCGGCGGGGCCGGACGCCGCGGAGGGAGACGCCGCGGCCGGGGCCGACGGCGCGGGCCGGGCCGGGCCGGGCCGGGCCGGGCCGGGCCGGCGACGGGCAGCGGGAGGCGGGGCGCGGCGGGCGCGCGGGAGACAAAGGCGCGGCGGCGCGGGCGGCCGGGCCGGGACAAAGGCCGGCCGGGGGGCGGGGGCAGCGATGGCGACGGCCGCGGCGGGCCGGGCGAACTACAAGTCCCAGCAGCTCCCGCTGCGGCCCTCGGCCGGCCCCTCTCGCTCCCGGGAGCGCCTGGCGGGGCCCTGGGCCGAGGGGCCGCCGGCGGGGCTGGCGGGCGGGGGGCTTCCTGAGGGCCCGGGGGCGCCGGCGGCCGGCGCGGGCGCGGCGGGCCGGGCAGGGGCGAGGGGCGCCGGGTGAGTGTCCCCGCGAGCGGGCCGGGCGGGCGGGGGCCGGGGCGGGGCCGGGCGGGGGGCCCCGCGCGGGGCGCGGCCCGGGGCGACCTCTGTGCGCCCCCGCCCCGCGCGACGCCGGCCCCGGCCCGGGAGCTGCCTCCGGGCGCCACGGAGGGCGGCGCGGCCTCGGGCCTAGCGCGCCCGTTCCGCCGCCGCGTCCCCAGGGGAGGGCCCGGCGGGAGCTGGATGCCTCTGCTGGGGAGACGAGGGGGCACCCGCAGCTGTGAGGTTGGGGGTTCAGAAGGCTCCTCCCCTGGAGGTGAGCCAGACTCCCCTCCCCCCAGGGCCCCAGGAGGGCCCCCAGGCTTTGTTCTCCCCACCCTCCAGCCTGGAGTCTGGACTTCGGGAGGCCTTCTTCTGGAAGGGGACCCCCAGGTTGTCTGTCCGCCCCCCCAGTCCCCCAGTTATTGTTCTCTTCACACTCAGGTCTTGGGATTCTGCAAGTCCAGGAGTCCACCTGCTCCAGGAACTCAGGAAAGACCCTCCCCCCCAAAAAGATGGGAATTCTGGAGGCAATTTAAGTCTCCCTGCCCTTCAGGAATTTAGGAGCAGGCATTGTTCCCCACACCTCCAAATCTGGGGTCTGGGTTGAAGAGGTGATCTGGGACCTCGGCCCACTCCCTGCTATGGGGTTATGGCTCAGGATGCTCCTCCCCAGAAGGGGCCCCAGAGGTTCCCTTGTCTTCCCCGGAAAAGATCTATTTGTCATTCCCCACACGCAGTGTCCAGCCCTGGGGTGGGTGGCCCAAGGCATGGCCTCCCCATCAGGTAATCCTGAGCGCCTCCTGCTTCCCAAAGGCCTCCCAGCTACTGTTTCTCCAGCCCTCTCCTGGCCTCCCACCATGGGGCTGGAACTCAGGATCTTCCCTCCAGGAGGGAACAGAAGCATCCGACACCTATCCTCATACCTCAGCCATGGGCTCAGTGGCGCAGGAGTCTCCCTTCTGAGGAGATGGTCCAGGGGTGCCCAGTAACCCAGCAGGGTCCCTGGGTATTATTTTCACCCACTCTCAGTCAGGGGTAAAAATTCAGGATCTTCTGTCCTTGGTGAAACAGACATAATGGTGCTCGTCGCCACCCTCCTGGCTATGGAGGCCATGGGTCTCCCTGCACCCCCTCACCACCGGCCCCCACAAATTATTTCCCCACCCTTCCTCTCTAGCTTTAAGAACTGGCATTTGGGAACACAGATGTTAAAACAGTTATTCCAACCCATGAACTGTGCGCTCTGGCATTTGGGCCGTCTCTTCCCCAGGAAGCAAGCCAGGGGACTGTCTCTGCTCCACAGGACCCCTGTTTCCCACAGAGGAGGAGCCCAGCATGGAAAAAGGGGCAGAACCATGGAGTTGGGTACTGGAGACTTCTAGTGCTGGGTCCCCTGACTTCCATCCAGGTGTGGGGCTGAGAAGGGAGGGTCTCCCCATGTCCCACCAGGGCCCCTCTTCTCCCTGCCCTGGCTGGGGTGACTCAGAAGTCTCTTCGTGTGTTCCAAGACAAATAAAGGGTCCACATGCGTGTTCAAGGGTGGGTTCTGGCACATGGTCTGGCCTCCTCTCCCACCCCTGCCTAGATTCCCTTTGGTCCCCAGAACCTACCTGCACCTACTCTCTGTCCTCACCTTGCAGATCCTGCCCCGGAAGCAGCTGGCACTTCCACACCCGGGATGCGGCGCTCAGTCCTGGTAAGAAACCCAGGCCACAAAGGCCTGAGGCCCACCTATGAAGAACTTGACTCTGACTCAGAAGACCTGGACCCCAATCGTGAAGAGGTGGACCCAGTTTCTGAAGATCTAGAGCCTGAGCAAGAAGACCTCAACACTGTCTCTGAAGATGTGGACCCCAGTTATGAAGATCTGGATCCTGTTTCTGAGGATCTGGACCCAGATGCAGGAGCTCCAGGCTCCATCTCGGGGACCCGTGACTCGGATCCCCAAGATCTCGACCCCATGTCATCGAGTTTTGACCTAGATCCAGATGTCATCGGTCCTGTCCCCCTGGTTCTCGACCCCAACAGTGACACCCTCAGCCCCGACACTGCCCCAGATCTGGACCCCCTCTCATCTGATCTCACTGCCACCCCTGAGGTCCTGGCCACCAGCCCCCCCGTGCTTCCTGCTCCCGCCAGCCCTCCCCGACCCTTCTCCTGCCCTGATTGTGGGCGCGCTTTCCGCCGCAGCTCGGGGCTGAGCCAGCACCGACGCACCCACAGCGGCGAGAAGCCATACCGCTGCCCCGATTGCGGCAAGTCCTTCAGCCACGGGGCCACGCTGGCCCAGCACCGCGGCATCCACACAGGTGCGCGACCCTATCAGTGCGCGGCCTGTGGCAAGGCCTTCGGCTGGCGCTCCACACTGCTGAAGCACCGCAGCAGCCACAGCGGCGAGAAGCCGCACCACTGCCCGGTGTGCGGCAAGGCCTTTGGGCATGGCTCCCTGTTGGCGCAGCATCTGCGCACGCATGGCGGCCCACGGCCACACAAGTGCCCGGTGTGCGCCAAGGGCTTTGGGCAGGGCTCAGCGCTGCTGAAGCATCTGCGCACACACACCGGTGAGCGACCCTACCCGTGCCCACAGTGCGGTAAGGCCTTCGGGCAGAGCTCGGCGCTGCTGCAGCACCAGCGCACACACACTGCGGAGCGCCCCTACCGCTGCCCCCACTGCGGCAAGGCCTTCGGCCAGAGCTCCAACTTACAGCACCACCTGCGCATCCACACTGGCGAGCGACCTTACGCCTGCCCCCACTGCTCTAAGGCCTTTGGGCAGAGCTCAGCGCTGCTGCAGCACCTGCATGTGCATTCCGGGGAGCGCCCCTATCGCTGCCAGCTGTGTGGCAAGGCCTTCGGCCAAGCCTCCAGCCTCACCAAGCACAAGCGGGTGCATGAAGGTGCAGCTGCTGCTGCGGCTGCAGCCGCTGCAGCTGCAGCCGGCCTGGGCCTCAGCCCTGCCTCAATGCTGAGGCCAGGGCAGGTCTCCCTCCTGGGTCCTGATGCGACATCTGTGCTTGGCTCTGGCCTGGCCCGCAGCCCTGGCTCTAGCTCTGGCCTTGGTTCTGACCCCAGCTCTGTTCTGGGCTCCCACCCCAATGTCAGCCTCAAACCCACCCCTGGCTCTGGGTCTGCCCCTACCCCTCAGGCTCTCAAGTCCTCTGACCCTGTGCCTGGTGGTGATACCAGTCCTGACCTTGAGACCAGCCCAGTCCATGGATCTAGCCCCAGCCCTGATGCAAATCCTGTGCCCAGCCCGGACCCCAACCCTAAGTCCTGCCCTGACCCCGGTTCTCCCACCCATGACACTGTCAGACCAGCCCTCCCTACTGGCGAGAGTTCCGAGTGGGTGCAGCAGCAAGGGGCACTCCTAGGGCCTGATGGCTGAAGGGGACTCTGGCACCCGTGGGGGTCTGGGGAAGTTGTGTGTTGTGCAGTTAGTAAAATCTTCCCACTGCCTCCTGGTTCTGTGTTGTGGTTCACCTGTTTCTCTTTCTCCCTCAACGTACAGCCTGCGCCACTCATACACCTGGTACCTCAGTATCCTCACTTCCACTCGCAGGATGCCCTCCAGGCCTCCCCCTGCCCCAGGGTTCACACTGTTCCATCCTGGTAGTCATCACTCCCTGGTCCCCACTCCTAGCGGCCTCCTCAGGCATGACCACCGTAGTCAGGCAGCCTTCCCCGCAGGTGGTCTGAGCAGGATTCCTGGCCTTTGACTTTTCCATGTATGGTGAAATTCTGGCATCTTGACAGAGGAGCTGATAACGAGACCATATGGGTGCCCCTGTCTGTTCCCCTAACTTGCCCCTAGCTCTTCGAAGCCCACTAAGCATATCACTAGACAAAGGAGTTTGCTCATTATGCATTCAACAGATCTGTTGATTGCCATTGTTTAAGCAGAGCTCAAATTCAGAAATACCAAATTCAGAAATATTTTAAAAAGTAATTACAGGGTATTTTTAGTGCATTCTAGAAGCAGCATATAAGACATCTGATTTAAATGGCAGACAGTTTACCACAAGGGAGGATTTTATAATCACAATAACCACTTATTTAAAAATCAGTACTTCTTGCCCAATTTTGCACTATGCTGCTGCATTTTCTCATTTAATTCTCTGAACAGTTCCATAAGGCAGGTAACAGTGCTTCAGAAGACTCTTAAAATGTGCAAACTGAGGAGTTTGAAGGGATTCTTTGGAAGATGTAGAATGGTGGCTGGCAGCACCTGAATTGTCTGCCCTCCAGAGTCTGCAGCTCTTAGCCACAAGTCTCCAGAGCAGGAATGCACGAGGCCCTGGGGCCACTGAGAGATGAGCTGGGGATGGAGGGGGCAGACTGAAGAGCCTCAGTAGGCTGCAGCGGGGAGGTTCCTCCTCACACCAGCACAATGGGAAGTCACTGGCAGGTTCTGGCAAAGGCCTGATGGGAATCATGCTCTGAAGATGCTTCTGGCTGCTGGGTTGGAAGTGGGAGTTTAAGATCAGGGAGCTGTTTGCTTCAGCGATCCAGGCCTGGAATGTTGGACCACGGGTTCTGATCCTGCCTCAGTTCTTTTTCCCAGAGTGGGGGACAAGTGGTCCTATTTGGGATAGAATAGGAGATGAAATAGGATTTGGTGATAGTTCAGATGAGAGAGGCAGAACGGGAGAGAGCTGAGAGTAAGCCCCAGGTTTCTAGGAGGATGGAGTTGGGCGATGGATCAACACTGGCCACTGCGGAGGGTAAGGGGTCAAGTACCAGCCAAGGAAGTCAAGCGGTTGGCACCGGACGCGGGTATGACAGAGAGCCAGGAGGGAGCCAGCTCCACACTGGCACGCTCGGCCAGGCCAGCCCAGCCCGCCCAGCCCGCCGGCGGCGCTAGGACCTCGAGAGCGCCCTCCGCCCAGACGCCCCGCAGAGGCCGCATGCGCGCTGCTCCCGGGGGCGGGCTCGGCGCAGGGGCGGGAGCGGATCCGGTCACGTGCTCCAGAACGCTCTGGTCACGTGACAGGGGCCCTGTCAGCTGACGCCGCAAGGTTTGAAGAGGCACCGGGAGGGACTGAGGCCGCAGTGACAGCAGCGGGGGCTCGGACCCGGGGTGCCCTGCTGCGCGAGCCGGCGCCGGCGCTCGCGGCCCGGGCATGGCGGCCACCATGGGCCCGCACGGCTCAGGTGAGGGGACGCGCGGGCCCGCGGGTGGCTGGCCGGTAGCCCGCTTCTCCGCCTCGGGGCGATTTTCCTTCTTAAATTCCAGGGCTGATCGCTCAGCTTCGCCGTGGTGGCAATATGGGCAGGCGGCTCCTGGAAGCCGGGCGGCCCGTGGGTGTTAGTCCCTCCAGCCCCCGAGCGGCAGATTCCCGAATGCCCTTTCGAAGCCAGACCCTGCTCCGAGCTCCGGAGCTCAGGCAGCGGGCGGGCTGCCCGCTCCTTGGACTCCGGGCGGCGGGTTCTCAGGATTCCCATTCTGAGCCTAGGTTAGGATGGCAGCTTTTGCTGTCACCCAGACAGCGGGCACCAGCTTCGCCAACCCGCACGTGGAATTCCCAGGCTTGCAATCCAGGGGGAAATGCTCGACTTCTCTCGGCTCAAGAGGAGGGCCGGAGGGATTGCCTTCTTGAACCTCCACACCCAACGCAATTTCCGATCTCCAAACCCAGGGAAAGCTCAACTCTCCTGAGCTCCTGGGTGGGTGCCTAACCCCCAGTGTTGCCAGTCTCCCCCTCTCATGAGAGGATGTGGAGGAAGACCCTTGTGTTGCCTGAAAGGTGTCCCAGCTGGTAGAGTGTGAGTGGTTTAACTGTGACCCACCTAAGGAGTCAGGACTTGTCCTCTGGCTTCCATCCCGGTGTCTTGTAAACAACCACAACAGCATCCAGTTCCAAGGCTACAGCTCAAGAGGGAGCCTGCTCCTCCCTGCAGGACAGGTTCTGACAGTGTCCATACTCATCCTGGTGGCCTTGTCAGGCAGGATCTAGCCAGGCCTTGGAAAGGTTCTCCCAGTGGGGTTCTGGGCTGTTGTGGCCAGATATGACCCCAGCAGTTGCTAAACCGCAGATCTTCCTCTCAGGCGGCCTAGGGTTGAAGGTAACGAGAAGTGCTTTAAATAACTTCTGCTGAACAGTTATGGATGCAGGGGCCCAGCTGCTTTCTCAGTTAATTCTCAGAGAACTTTCAGAATCTCAGCCTTGGGAAGACTTTTCATTCTACTTTTCAGATGAAGAGATGGGACGGGACTTAGAGTTGCCAAAGTCTGTCCAGAAAGTGGTCCCCCGGTGTGGTCCCCCGGAGTTGATGTCCGTAATGAAAATGCCATGTTAGCATGTCAGCTAACAGTGTTATAACATCTGCTGGTGCTCCATGAGCCTTGCACGAGTGTGTTTTCTTATCACTGTTGTCCATCTCCCCTTCTCCAGGCCTGTGACTTGTGAGTGTCAGCAGGACAGACAGGTCATGCTAAGGGAGAGGGCTAGCATTGGAATGTTTGTCAAAAACAAGAACAAACTAGAACGTGGCTGGTTTGAATGACACTAGAATTAAGATGAGCCTGGAAGCCTTGAGAGCCCTGTAAGAAGCCAGTGGAAGCAATTCATTCTCCCCCACAAATCAACAACAGGAATAATAATGGAGTGTCCTGACATTCTTACCAGGAACCAGCCCCTTTGATAAATGCTGTACATGCAGCAAATCCTCAGCTTTCCAGTGAGAGATAGTTATTGCTGCATTTTGCTGAGGAGGAAGCTGAGTGCTCACCAGAGCTGGCAAACAGCAGAGAGAGGAATCCTCTCAGGCCCTGTAGACCCAGCCCCCAACTTGTAACCTCTGAGCACACTGTTGCAAATGCCCAGAAAATATTGCAGAGTTTTCCTTTTTCTTAAATCTCTTCGAGTTCTTTTTTTGGCTGGAGCATGGGGCCACAAGGTCAGGCCAGAAGCTGTCTTCCCTGTTGGCATATGCACCTGCCCGGGCTTGGACCCACTGCCCTCTTCCATGTCCACAGAGACGGAGCGTCTCCTGACCCCTAGTCCTGGGTACGGGACCCAGGAGGGGGCCTCCACGGCTCCGCTCACTCCACCGGAAGAGGAAGACCTCCGCCGCCGTCTCAAGTACTTCTTCATGAGTCCCTGTGACAAATTCCGGGCCAAGGGCCGCAAGCCCTTCAAGCTGATGCTGCAAGTGGTGAAGATCTTGGTGGTCACCGTGCAGGTGAGACCTGGGGATGCCAGGATGCCACCTGTGGCTGCCGATCATGAAGGAGAGTCTTGGAGTCAGCCTCAGCCTGGCCTGGGAGACCCTCGGGTTTGTGTGCAAGCAGCTCCTTTACCTCACAAATGCCCTCTGAGGCTCTGGAAACGACTCTTGTCCCTATTTTATAAATGAGGCAACTGAGGTTCAGCGAGGTTAAGGGACTTGTCAAAAACCAACCAGTGAACGAACATCGGAGCTGGCACATTGAACCCAGCAACCTGAGATACCTTGACTCTCAAGGAGAACTGACTAAGTGGCTAAACAGATAGTTCCCCTCCACCCCTGCCAGGCACTAAGCTATGGGGACCCTAAACCCTGCCCTAAAGGACTTCTGGTCTATTGCTGGGACTTTGGCACATTATCTAATTTCCCTTGGTAAAAGGGCCAGGGGTATTCTCCTGCAGGCCTGGGGCTAACACCTGTTCTGACACCTGGTGGTGCTGAGTAAGCACTAGCCACTGCAGCAGGTGCAGGAGCACTGCGGGGTAGGCGGGGATGTGTGCCACACAGGGCAGCCCCCCACCCCCTCCTTCCTCCGCGTGTGCATGCACTGAGGGAGGCTTCATTCCAGCAGTGCTGACGCCCCCGTCCCTCCTCCAGCTCATCCTGTTCGGGCTCAGCAACCAGCTGGTAGTCACTTTCGGGGAGGAGAACACCATTGCCTTCCGGCACCTCTTCCTGCTGGGCTACTCGGACGGGGCAGACGACACCTTGGCAGCCTACACTCGGGAGCAACTCTACCAGGCCATCTTCCACGCCGTGGACCAGGTGCAGTGGCCAGGGCAGGGGCAGGGGCACCCCTGAGGAGAGTGGTGGGACTGACGGGCCCTTCTCTTCTGCCCATAGTACCTGATGCTCCCTGACGTGTCCCTGGGCCGGTATGCATACGTGCAGGGTGGGGGCGGCCCCTGGGCCAACGGCTCGGCCCTGGCCCTCTGCCAGCACTACTACCAACATGGCCATGTGGACCCAGCTAACGACACCTTCGACATCGACCCGATGGTTGTTACTGGTGAGTGGACAGGGTGGAGCTCGCCTGCTGGGAGCCCCAGCTGCCGTGATTAAAAGCTCAGTTCTGCCTCTTGCTCCTCTGGAAGACGGGGGAGGGGGCAGTCACATAATCATGAATAACTCAGGGTATGCAATGTGCTTAGTGAAATGATTGCCATGCAGAAAGATCTGGGTATTATATTTTAATATCATTAACTCATTTGGGGGCCCCTGAGCTTTAGGCTCTGACATCCGTGTGGGAATTAGACAGGCTGGGACCTGCTCGGGGGAGACACGGGGAGCAAACAAGTGTGTAAGTCTAAAGGGAGAAATGAATCTGGGAGGGGCAGGGAGACCTCTGGGCCTTCGCCGCCCCCAGTGCTCCTTCCTTAATTTCCTGTCCTCAGACTGCATCCACGTGGACCCGCCAGAGAGGCTCCCTCTACCCCCCGGTGATCTCTCCCTCTCAGACAGCAGCGACAGCTACAGGAACCTCACACTCAAATTCCACAAGTACAGCAGTCCAGGGCGGGCACAGAGTGGCCACTTCCCCATGGGCTGGGGTGCGGGGAGCCGTGCTGATGGTGCGTGAGCACCTCCTCTGTCAGCTGCAGGGTCAGCGTGGGCAGCAGTCCTGGCACTCCAGGCGGGAAGGACGGCACAGCCCCTCACGCTCACCCTCACCCCCCAACAGGCTGATCAATGTCACCATCCACTTCCAGCTGAAGACCATCAACCTCCAGAGCCTGATCAACAACGAGACCCCAGACTGCTACACCTTCAGTGTCCTGGTGAGCGCGTGAGGGAGGGCCCGCCGTGGACCTGGCAGCAGCCACAAACAGGGCTGCCTCCTCCGGGCGGGGCCTGTCAGAGGGCATCTGCGGGTCCTGGGCTGAGGGCAGCACATGTGGTGGGGGACCGGGCCTGGTTATGGTTCTATGGATCTGGGAGCCCCCTTCTGTCCCACTGTACCCCTGCAGATCACGTTTGACAATAAGGCGCATAGTGGGCGTGTCCCCATCAGACTGGAGACCCAGGTCCACATCCAGGAGTGTAAGCACTACAAAGTCCTCAGGCACGGTGAGCCCCAGAGCCCAGCACAACAGCACTGACCAGGGACCCTGACCTGTCTAGGCATCCCCAAGCCCAGACCAGCCCAGGTCAGCCCAGATCACGGATTAGGGACCCTGGCTGACCACGGCTCCCCAAAGTACCAGACCAGTGCCCACCAATCTCCTTACTCACCCAGCTATCCCAGGAGTCCACTGACCAGCCCAAACCAGCCCCGCAATCCCTGGGGCCCACCCAGTCACCCATTCCTGGGCCTCTCCTGTCCCCCCTCCCCACAGGAGACAACAGCTTCCAGCTCCTGTTTGACATGGTGGTGATCCTCACCTGCACTTTGTCCTTCCTGCTGTGTGCCCGCTCGCTGCTCCGCGGCTTCCTGCTACAGAGTGTGAGCCCTGATCCCACAGCCTCCCAGCTCCCAAGGGCATGGGGGTGGGAGCTCCCATGAGGGTCTGCACCGGGGGCCCATCACCCTGCCTGCCTCCCACAGGAGTTTGTTAGATTCATGTGGCGGCACCAGGGACGTGTCATCAGCCTGTGGAAACGGCTAGAATTTGTCAACGGCTGGTACATCCTCCTGGTCACCAGCGATGTGCTCACCATCTCAGGCACCATCATAAAGATGGGCATCGAGCACAAGGTAGGTTCTGCCCACCTACACCCTGCCCTGCCCAGAGCCCCCGATCCTGCCTGTTTCCAGGTTCTGTTCTCACCGATGCCTGCCTGAGGACAGATTCCCTGGAGGAGTCTGGCCGGGGGGGTTAACCCTGCTCCCACCCCCAGAACCTGGCGAGTTATGACGTCTGCAGCATCCTCCTGGGCACCTCCACGCTGCTTGTCTGGGTCGGTGTGATCCGCTACTTGACCTTCTTCCATAAGTACAATGTAAGTCTCGTAGGCGCAGGCCAGGCCTTTTGGGTGGTGGCAAGGTGCTCCCCAACTCCCCCCGCCCCCAAGTAAGTTCATGCACACGCCACAGATGGCCCATTAGGAGCCTCTGCCCCGTGAATGTGCCTGTCGTGGATGACGCCTGTCGCCCCAGACCCCACCCATCCCAGGTGTCACTATACCTGGGCAGGGCTGAGTGAGCCTGCCCTTCACACCCACCCAGCTGCGTCCAGCCAAGGGTGCCCTCAGGTCCCCTCCACCCAACCCGGCCCCATCTAAGCCACCGCCATCTTCTGTGGTCACCCCGCTTGCCCTGGGCCTGACCTGTTTCACCCTCTCCTGCATGCCCACAACCATCCCTTGCGGGCCGGCCACACCGTCACCGTGAGCCCCCACCTGCCTGCAGATCCTCATCGCGACCCTGCGGGTGGCCCTGCCCAGCGTCATACGCTTCTGCTGCTGCGTGGCCGTTATCTACTTGGGCTACTGCTTCTGTGGCTGGATCGTGCTGGGGCCTTACCATGCGAAGGTAAGGTGGGGCGAGTGCTTGGGACCCACAGATGAGGGGTCCCTGGCTTTCTTCCCCGAGTCCCCTTCCTAAGCTGTGTGACACCTGTTGTGCATCTGCTGATACTGAGTGACCTGCCTTGACCCGATACCTTAGCAGCAGGTCTGCGGCAGCCCCATGCTCTGCCCCCCAACACCCGGCCCTGCTGTTGCCCCATGGCCTTGTCATTGTGCGGTGAACTCCAGGTGGCCCCGTTACATCTACCTGTTCTCTGTCCACTGTCCCCCGTGGCCTCCATGACTGCCCTATCCCAACCCCCAGCCATGTCCATGGCGCCCTCTGCCCCCACAAACCCTCTGGTTTGCTGTCTGGTGCCAGTTCCGCTCTCTGTCCATGGTGTCGGAGTGCCTGTTTTCACTCATCAACGGAGACGACATGTTCGTGACTTTCGCCGCGATGCAGGCGCAGCAGAGCCGCAGCTACCTTGTCTGGCTCTTCTCCCAGCTTTACCTCTACTCCTTCATCAGCCTGTTCATCTACATGGTGCTCAGCCTCTTCATCGCCCTCATCACGGGCGCCTACGACACCATCAAGGTCAGCGTGCAGCCCCCCACCCCCGGCCTCCATTCTCGTGGATCCCTCGAGTCGGCCATAGTGGGTCTTGGGCACACGCTGGGTAAGGAGATAAGCCCCCAGGGGAGACTACAAAGCCAGAGGAGAGGGTACTTCGGAATCGGGGGCCCCCCCCATATCCCTGGTAGGTTCCTGCCTCTGCTTTTGCCAACAGGAAAGCAAGTCACGGTAACTTGCCTAGAGACAGACTCAATCCAGCACTGTCTGTTTCTGGAAACCCCACTCCTGAGTGCAGTGTCTGGTGGTAGGGGCTGTTTGGGTCCTGGGAAAGGTAGTTATCCTGCAGGCTGTAGGGGTCAGGAGAGGATGGAGTCAGAGCAGAATGTAGAGGTGGCAGGTGGACAAGATTCTTGTAGCAAACGTGTCTGAGGACCTGTTGTGGGCCAAGCCCTGAGTTGGGTGCCAGGTATCTGGTTATCAGGCGTCTGTCCAAGGCTGGCGGGCAAGATGGCTAACGTGACTGGAAGTGTGAAGATGGCTGTGAGAGGTATGAGGGAAGTATGAAAGGTTACAGAGGGACCCCCCTCTAATCTAAAGGTATAGGGGTGAGTCCAGGAAAGTGTCTAGAGTGTGCTAATTCTAGACTCTAGTGATGGGACGATTTAAATTTTTATTTTAATGGAAATGAAATACAGTATCAAACACAAGTCCTCATTCACAGCACCCACACATCGAGTGCCAACAAGCCTCTGTGACTTCATTGGCTACCAGATTGGACAGCAAAGATACAAAACATTTCTGTCCTCTCAGAAAGTTCTAGATTGAAGAGAGGGAACCCACAGGGAATGAACATCTGAAGCAAACGCTTAGTAACCAGAAAGGGGATGATGCCTTGAGGAAGAGATGGGGGCTCCCCAAGCTTGGAAGGGGTTTTGCTGAAAACCAGAACATGAACTGGGCTGGGATGCAGACGTGGATACTGTCCCCGGGGCTGGAGGCGTCCAAACATCACATACACATATCAGCTTGAGCACAAGCCCAGACCTTGGCCCCCAACTCAGTAGGTTATCAGACATCCAGATTTTGTCTGTGGAGGCTGCAGACGGCGCAGAGGGCACCAGCTGACAAGATGTGTGGTGCGCATGCACTTAGGGGTCAGGAGAGATCTGTGGAAAGGAACCACGAGGAACAATAAATAGGAGGAACAATAAACAGGCGGAGGGCACAGCGGGTATAAAGGCCCAGAGGTGGGACCCTGCTGGTCAAGGAGGGACTGCGCGGAGATCCAGATCCAGGGGAGAGCAGCCCTCCAGGAACGTGGGAGTCAGCCACTCATGCAGGGCCCCGGCCTCTCCCCCCAGCACCCGGGCAGTGCCGGCGCAGAGAAGAGCGAGCTCCAGGCCTACATCGCGCAGTGCCACGACAGCCCCACGTCTGGCAAGTTCCGCAGGGGCAGCGGCTCAGCCTGCAGCCTGCTCTGCTGCTGTGGCAGGTTCGAGTCCGGATAGGGGGCTGGGGGAGGGGCGCCTGCGCGGGGGAGCTGACGGCGGCCGCCCGGGCTGACACTGACGCGCCTCCAGGGACTCCCCGGAGGACCGCTCGTTGCTGGTGAACTGACTCCGACCACGACGGCCACCGGACAGCAGCCCCGGACTGTGAGGAATCGTGCTTATTTATTTTTAAGAGTTTGCCCTAAAAGACCGGCTCCCTGCTGCGCCCTTTGAGGGCCCGGGCGGGCCGGGTCGGACACTGGGGTGGGTGTTCAATAAACGGGAAGATCAGCTCGTTCTCGTGTCCAGCGGGCGGGGCGTCCCTGCCGCGAGCCGCGCCGGCCTCTTTAAGGCCTCGCCGCGCTCGGCGCGGCGGGCTGCGCGCGACCGTCCCACCGCGCGGGGCGGGGCTGCGGCGCGCCCTGCGGCGAATAATTTAAAGGGGCCGCGCCCGCCGCGCCGGGCGGAACGCTAGCGGTGTCGGTGCGGGCTGGACCCCGGCGGCAGCCCCTGGGTGAGTCCGAGTTCCCGCCGGCCGGCAGGGGTGTCCCTTCGAGGATCGTCAGCGAGCCCCCGGCTTTCCCAAGATCCGTCCTCCGCCGATTCCTGGCAGTCCCAGACTTTCTGATCCTCCCAACCCCCACTTCCCGGCAGGTGTTTCCGCGCCGGTAGCCAGGTGCGCCCCAGGGTGGCCGGGGACTGGTCCCCCTTGAATTTTCCAGGTAGTGTCTCCAGGGCCCGTGACCCGCCCAGATTTCCTTTAATGCTCCAGTAGCGCGGGAACACCCTCCGCCGCCCGGCAAAGTCCCGGGAATCTAGCGATCCTTAGACTCGGGAACTTTCCAGCGCCCCCGGCCATTCCGGCGCCTCCGGTTACGGCTCCCGGCAATGGCGTCAGCGTCGTCCCCGCAGCCCCCGCGCTGCTCCGCGCCGCCGGAGACCCCGTGACGCCGCTGTTACGGGACAGCGAGTCTCCAGCAGCAACCAAGTAACGTCTTGCGAGCGCATCCCACTCAGAGCATCCCAGAACCTCCCACGACCTCGGCATCAGCCCAGGACCCCCGTGTGGTCGCTCCCGATCCCTGGGTGTCCCCGGCGCAGGTTTTGGGCGGCAGCCAGGCGTCTCCCGGCCCCCGTGGCTTTCGGGGCCCTGTGTCCCTGGGGCCCCCAGTGGTCGCGGGGCGGGGGGCGTGCGTTGCAAGGGACTGCGGCCGAGGGGTCGGTGGGTCAGGACTGATCAATCCCGCCAGGCAGAGGCCGGAGAAGGGGCCACCGCTGGGAGGGAGCAGTGTCCTCCGGGGACTCGAGCGCTGGCTACTGACAGCGGTGCCCGGCCGGCCGCCCTCCGGCCCTAGGGTGGGGCCGCACTGGTGGGGCGTCAGGCCGCCCGATGAGTAGGTGAAGGGAGGCAGGCTGGGGCACGCCTCACGCCTAGCCCGAACCCCGAGGTCAGCTTGCCCCACCCATCTGCGCGCGGCGACTCTAGCTGCACCCCGGGCCCCTGAAGGGCCGTCCAGGCGGCGGGTGCGAAGTGGGCAGGGCTTGGGCTAAGGGGGAACGGCTGGCTACAGGGAAGGGGCGGGTCCGGAGTGACGACCTGCACCGGTTCCTCCTGCTTCAAATTCCTCAGGACTCCGAACTACCAAGCCGCCGCCCAGCCCGAAGTGATGGAGGCCCCGCTGCAAACCGGAATGGTAAGGGTTGGGCTGGTGCGGCGCCGCGGGGACTACAACTCCCGACGTGCTCGGCGCGCAGCATCGCGTCCCGCGAGACCTGGCTACGTCAGTTCAGGCCGAACTACGTTTCCCGGCGTGCACCGCGGACAGCGGGGCCGCGGGGAAGTGCTGCGCCCCCGGGGAGGGCGCCGCGCTGGCCCATCCTGCAGATGGGGACGTCGAGGCCCGAGCTGGCTGAGACCTCCTCGGGGGCGGAGGTGGCGGAGTGCGACGGGGCTCCGGAGGGCTCGGCGGGGCGAGTATGCGACGTGCAGCCAGTGCCGTTCGTCCCGCAGGTGCTGGGCGTGATGATCGGGGCCGGAGTGGCGATCCTGGTCACGGCTGTGCTCATCCTCCTGCTGGTGCGGAGGCTGCGAGTGCCGAGTGAGGACCCGGGGGCCCTCTGGGAGGCCGCGGGGTGGGGAGCTGAAATGCCGGGCTCCCTGAGCCGCAGAGATGGCATTTGCTGGAATCTGCACGCTGCGGGCCGTGTGGAGCCTGTTCAGAGCCTTGAGCGTTCCTGTCCCCACTTACCCCAGAAACCCCAGCCCCGGACGGCCCGCGGTACCGATTCCGGAAGAGAGACAAAGTGCTTTTCTATGGCCGGAAGATTATGCGGAAGGTGAGTGCAGGGGCCCCCCGGGGGTGCCCGCTGACCACACAGAAGCCCTGCCCTCTCCCTAGTTACACCTCTTACCGAGCCCGCCCTCCTCTTTTAAGGACCTCTGGGAATGCCCCAGCCTTCCCTAGGCGCTAAACTCGTTGACCGATTTACCAGCCCCCCACCTTTGATCCCCCCAGGTATCACAGTCCACTTCCTCCCTGGTGGACGCCTCCGTCTCCACCACTTCCCGGCCACGCATGAAGAAGAAACTTAAGATGCTCAACATTGCCAAAAAGTAAGGCTGTGCTGAGTGTCCCTGGTGCTGGGGGCTATGTCTGGGGCCTTCTGAGGGATCAGCCCACACCAAAGCGTGTGTCCAAAGGTGCTTTGAACCCTTTGAACTGTCTTGGGAGCTTACTCAGAGCTCTCCAGCACCAGACAGGCAGTGTCTGGGATCTCTGTCTCATGGGGCTAGCTCAGTAGCTCCCTGCTACAGGGTGACTGAGCTCTTTGGACTCATCGGTATCTTAGATACCTTATCCTGTATTTAGGGGCCTCCACTTGGAGTGTCCACATGGGCCATTTCATGGGTTCCCCACACATCCCCTCAGTGTGGGTGTGTCTGACCTGCTGGAGGAGCTATCTCTGGTTTCTGTTCTCCTGAAGTTACATCACCAATCTCTACATCAGAAAGCACCTCTCTGTGCCACCTACCAGGGAGTTGTTCCCACACTAGGGAGGCTCCTCAGGGGATTTTTTTTTTTTTAAAGATTTATTTATTTATGCATACAAGAGCTGGGGTGCAGGCCAGAGGTGCAGGGGGTAAGAGGAGTCACGTGAGAGAGTGAGGAACAGAACAGGCAGATCTACTGAAAAACACTGCTGAGGGGAGCAGCAGGGAGACAGGAGAGGTCTGCTGTGCCATGTGGGTCCGCTTAGGGGCTGGCGATAGTGCTGAGACTTTAACCCCTGTGCCACCAGGAAGGTCCTGCTCAGGGGATTCTGTTCCCTAGAAGTTACTGCAAGCTTGTGTATTTCAATCAATCCACCTGTTCTGTTTCTCACTCTGTCTCTGGTGAATTCTCTCGCCCCCACACCTCTGGGCTGTACCCCAGTTCTTGTATGCATAAATAAATAAATCTTTAATAAAAAAAGTCATTGCAAGCTTCTTGCACTAGCAACATAGGAAGTATGGCTCAAGGTCCATCATCAGCTAGGGCAATCTCTGGTATCTGAGAAAGGCTGTCCAGGGAGCTTTGTAAGTTGGGGACTCCTCAGAGGGCCTACTTGAAGATCTGTTTCAAGGGTTTCTTCACACCAAAGGGTCATCCCATACTGCTGTCGTGGGCTTTCTGTGACTGGGGCCACGGCTGTCTCTGGATTCTCTGTGATCAGTTGCAGGGGGTATTTCAAGCCTCCCCACATCATGGGGGCTGTCTAAGTGCCTGCACACCTTGAGCTCCGCTGATGTCTTCATGGTCATCAGAGCGATGTCTCAGTTCTGTGTAGCCTGCAGAGGACATAGTTGCAGCCTCCCTGATCAGAAGAGGGGTTGTACCTGGATTCCTCTGTATCATGGAGTTTAACTTAGGGGTCTGCTCACGTGGAGACCAGCTCAGGAGTCTCGTGACCACTGGAGGGATCATCTCAGTCGTCACCATGACATGCAGGGCAGTGCTGACCCCGGCCAGCAGCGGGGCGATATCTAGGGTCTCCGCATGTAGTAAGGGCTGTCAAAGGACCTGTGACTGTCACGGGGGCCACCTCAGGCCTCTCTGTAACCTGCGCAGTCTCAGGATTCTTTACAAAGAGCCAAGAGTCTGTGTCTGGGTCTCCTCGTGCAACAGAAGCTGCCCCAGAGGTCTGCCAGTTGAGTGAAGCTTCCTCACAACTGGAGAGACTCTCAGGGGTCCATGATATAGAGATGCTATTCAGGGGTCTGCCCATGACCTGGCAGCTGTGCTAGGGCTGTGCCTCACTAGGGGATTCATCTCAGATGGCCTGTGACTGGTGGAGGAGGGATCTCAGGGTTTCACATCAGCGGTCAGCAAACTTTTTCTGTAAATGGCCACTTAGTAAATATCATAGGCATTGAAGGCACCATGAAACTCTTGCAACTGCTCGATTCCAATGTGGCATGAACGACAATACCCAAACAGGTGAAGAGGGCTACGTACCGCTAAAATTTTATTTACAAAAACAAGTGGGGGCCGACTTGGGTGGGCAGGTGCCTGCTCTATGTAATGTGAGGGAAGAGCTGTGAGGGGTCTCATGGCTGTCTGGGCCTTCTGCCTGTCCCTACCCGACTCCTCCCCCTCCCGCCAGGATTCTGCGCATCCAGAAAGAGGCCCCCACACTGCAGCGGAAGGAGCCCCCGCCCTCGGTGCTGGAGGCTGACCTGACGGAGGGCGACCTGGCCAACTCCCACCTGCCCTCCGAGGTGCTCTACATGCTCAAGAACGTCCGGTCAGTGCCCGGCGTTGGGGGTAGAGTGTGGGGCTCAGAGCTGGGGCTAAGCTGACCTGCATCCCTGCTCCCGCCCAACAGGGTTTTGGGCCACTTCGAGAAGCCGCTCTTTCTAGAACTCTGCCGG